GTCATGGAAGTCATGCCCACATGCACACTGGCCAGGTCATGAGGTCATGTCCACAGCCACACTGGCAGGGTCAATGCAGTCATGCCCATGGCCACATTGCCAGGGTCATGGAGGTCATGGCCCCACAGCCCACACTGGCCAGGGTCATGGAGGTCATGGCCCCACAGCCCACACTGGCCAGGGTCATGGAGGTCATGGCCCCACAGCCCACATTGCCAGGGTCATGGAGGTCATGGCCCCACAGCCCACATTGGCCAGGGTCATGGAGGTCATGGCCCCACAGCCCACACTGCCCAGGGTCACAGGGGTCATAGCCACGGCCCACACTGCCAGGGTCATGGACGTCACGGCCTCACGGCCCACACTGGCCAGGGTCACAGGGGTTACGGCCTCACGGCCCACACTGCCCAGGGTCACAGGGGTCACGGCCTCACGGCCCACAGGAGCCGGTTCTAGCCGGCCTTGTAATACAGTTCCCTCTGCCTCGCTCCTCGCACACCCAACGGCACCTCATGTTGGACACCAGTTATCTTTCTGTTGCTCTGTGTGTCTGCCCCACTTCACAAGGAAAGTAACTTAAAAGCATAGATCTCATTTCTTCTCTGGTTCTTCAGTCCTTTAGTCTGCGAAACCAGCCTCCCCTCCCTGGCACATGGACACACGGGTGCACGGGCCCTGTTACAAGGGATGAGTGTCGCCACACCCAAGAAGCAGGATGGAAGCCAGTGAGACGGCCAAGCTGCTGTCGTCATAAGAGAGGCCGCTTCACGCGCCACGATCCCACCTGTCCCAGGCGTCCAGATGGGGCCGGGGCGTCTCTCCTGGACTGGTGGCTTCCAGGCTGGGGCAGGGGACAAGGACGCCGCTCGATAGGGGACAGTCCCCCAGGCCAGGCTGCTGACACGGTGGGGAGGGCTGCACCCAGAGGAAATGGCTGTGGGCAGAGGCGCTGCGGAGGTGATGGGAGAGCCCCAAAGGAGCCTGGGACAGGTGCCCGTCTGGCATCAAACCCCACACCCCACAGCACAGAGGACGTGGGGACCACTGAGCCTGATCCCCGGTGTCACGAGAACCCGCTGAGACCCAGCTTCCTGTGTCCTGGTTCCTCCTTCATCAGCCTCCATCTCTCTCTGCTGTGGGCCAAACCCCACCACCCAGAGCTGCAGGGAAGAGAGGATTCCTGGGAATTCCAGGACTGGAGGCTGGTGAGGAATTCGGGAGGACCAGGAGGAGGGGCCTTCCCTCTCTTCTGCCTGGCCCCGCCCACTGCAGGGAGGCCACGCCCCTGCCCCGATCCTGCCCAGCTGGTGGGAGCCCCCAGCAAAGCTGGCAAACTGGCTCTGGAGGGGGAGACTGACAGCCAGCGCCTCAGGAGCTGTGACTTCCGGTCTGGCACCCAGGGGACCACATGACCGCAGCGGACTTTGCCTCAGGGCCTTCCAGGAAGGGAAGAGGCCTGACTTTGGGCCGGTTGGAGCTGCCTCTGCCCCAGGCTGCCGCTCTGGTTTGCTCTCTATTGTCCACTGGAGCGGAGCCTTCTCTTGGCCACTGCCCAGCCGCCGGCCGTGGAGGGACGCACCCCCGCCTCCACTCCCCAGGCCAGGAGAAGACAGGCAGGGGCCCTGCAGGACCCGCTGATGAGCCGTTGTCCCACTCCCTGGCAGTGACCAGCCCGGAGAGCAGGTGAGTCACTGTTGAAACCCCTGTGCGCCCTGCAGAGGGCCCGTGCGTGTGCACCTGCTGGTGTGGCTCCGGGTGAGACAGGGCCCCATTTGGGTCCGTGGCTGCTCTCTGGGCCAGCTCCCAGACAAAGGTTTCCATCTGAATTTTACTCTGGGGAAGTTTCAGCCACAGGCCTTGAGCACAAACTGCTGTGGGGACAAGGTGCCCGCCATGGATGCCACTTCAGACGCACTTGAATGCCTGGCTAAGGTGACCGGTGCTGTCTGGCAGGCTGGTCTCGCTGTTTCATGACACGTCCTTTTAGAATCTGCATCTCGTTGCCTTGTTTTCTGTATTCCTGCCACACTGTTCCAGAAAGCCAGGACTCTGCAGGTGTCCTAGGGTCCTCCCGGGGGTGGGAGTGGACGCCCCGCTCCGCCCCGCCCCTTGTGGCAGCGCCCCTCCCCCCAGGTGAAGATGTGGCTGGGTTTTCTCTTCTTTCTGTCTTTCTGTTTTCTTTGGATGGGAGAGAGGTGATCCTGGAGGACTGGAGAAGCCCCGGTCAGGGTTAGAAGGGACACCCTCAGACCTCCCATCCCCTCTCCCCATCAAGCCCCCCCAGAAGCCAGGGTCCCCCTGAACAGATGATTCTAACTTGTCATGGTCCAAGGCTTACAACAGAGAACCACGGAAAAATTATGTGCAGAAGTGTTTACTGTGGTTTTGTTTATTAGAGAAAAAAATTGAAACCAAGTAAAACAACCCAGAAACAGGGAATTGGATCAATATTGGGATAGTCGTGGGCGTGGTGTGTGGCCGTGGATCAACATTGGAGCAGTCGTGGGCGTGGTGTGTGGCCGTGGATGTAGTGGTTTTGGAGCGTGACAGCCGCTAGGTTTGTCAAGTTGTGTGGGTGTTTGAGAGAAGACATAGCTTTATGCGAAACTATGGCTCAGGATTTTTTGAAGATTCACAGTAAAAAAAAAAAAAAAGAGAAAAAACTAGGCAAAAATATCATTCATGGTTATAATCATGGTTATATCAAGGGTACAGAATTAGAGGAATTTCTTTTATTATTTTGACAATGAGATGTATTATTCATAGTAAAATCATGTTTAAAAGGTTTATTTATTTTATTTGAAAAGCAGAGAAAGGGAGAGAGAGAGAGACAGAGAAAGGCAGAGAGAGAATCTTCTATCCACTGGTTCACTCCCCAAATGGCTACAAGTGGCCAGGGCTTGGCCAAACCACAGCCAGGAACCAGCAGCCTCTGGGTCTCCTGTATGAGTGGCAGGGGCCCAAGCACTTGGGTCATTTCCACTGCTTTCCCAGGCTCATTAGCAGGGAGCTGGATCAGAAGTGGAGCAGCCAGGAATTGAACCGTGCCTAAATGGGATGCCGGTGCAGCAGGTGGTGGCTTAACCTGCTGTGCCACAATGCCAGCCCCTAAAATGAGGTTTTTAAACACAGAGAGGTATCCTTACTGAAGGAATAAGATCCTGGCAGCCGACATCTTAGTGCCAGCACGGTGGTTCGTATTCTGTCCATCCAGGGTAATTCGGGGATGCTTCGTGCCCAACACTTTCCCGAAGTGGCAGAGCAAGCTTGAAGGGGAGTCTTTGGACACTGATCTCGCTCTGCTGCAGGCGTGTGCGGACGTTCTAGGTAAAATCACAGTGCAGATCAATAGGGATGTGTTCTCCCGGGCATGTCCATCAAGACACAGCTTTAACTGTGGAAAGATGAAAACTCCATTCTTCACCGAGGCTCTGGTCATCGAAGGCGCCAGTGGCTCCCCAGTGAAGCTCATTGCGCCGAAAAGCATGTCCTGCCGGCCGGGCAAGTGGCCGGGGCACTGCTAGTCCCCAGGAAATCCTGGTCGGCCTGGAGGCCACTGCCTGGGCTTCGAGTTCCACGTCCGACTTGCAGAGCTGCCTGCGAGGTGTTCAAACCCCTGGCCGGGGGGTCCTGCCCAGCTGCACTAGGAAGCTCTGTGCAGCCCAGGCAGGGCTCAGGGAGCGAGCCCACCTTTCCTCTCCGTGCAGGTGCTGGCCAGCTCCACCTCTCGGCCGTCTGAGCTCCGTGTGCAGGGCGAGGCCCCTCCAATGCCTGCTCAGGGCTTCCGCCTCCCCCTGCAGCTGCCCCAGGCACTCCCTGGCAGCAGCTGCCCAGGGTGGGACTGGCGTGGGAGCGTGGGATCAGCTCGGCTGCCCAGCGCTGGCTGCGTCTGGCTGAGCCGCTCGTTTCCTTGTGCATGCACCCAGCTCGTCCTCACCACCAGCACAGTCCCAGCTCTTGTTCTCGGTGACATCCCGGTGACGGCTCAGGGAGAGACAGACGTCGCCAACAAGAGGAGCGTTTGAATTCACCGGGAGTCGGGAGAGGTCATTTCAATCAAGAAGAGGCAGGGGGAGGCGCAGGCTCCCAGCCGGCAGGACTCCGTCCGCGTGGCTGCCGGCTGTGTGTGGGTGGGGATGGACACGTGCGGGGGCCTGGCTGGCAGTTTCGAGAGCAGGAGGGAGCACTGGCCTGAGCAGATCCCAAGGGATCCACTGACCGGCGAAATCCTGCTGTGACAGCACAGCTCCTCCTGCGATCTCTCTGGTGCCTCCTTGGATGTCTGGACTCAATGTGGCTCGCGGGGCAGTTCCGACCTCGGGGCCCTGCTCACCCTGCAAGGTGCCTTCCCCTGGGCTCACTGTGCACTTGGACCGTCAAGGTCAATCTGCTGCCGGTGGGCCAGACATCTGGGGCAGGAACTGCTCTGAGTTCTTGCGTTGGTGGGGAAGTGCTGGCCAGGGGGCGGGGCCTCTCCAGAACCTTTGCTGAGCTGTGGGTCGGTGGAAAGCAGGCATTCCAGGGCCCCAGGCGGGGCGGGGCGGGGCGGGCCTGCCACCTGCTGTGCGCAGAGCCTCAGTTTGAGCCCTTCCCTCTGAGCCGCTTGTTCTGCCTTGGGCCCTTCTCTGCAGTTTGATGCAGGCAGCAGGGAGGCAGGGAGGGACAAAGTCCCCACGTCACATGTGCCTTCCGAGTCCCCACGTCACGTGTGCCTTCCGAGTCCCCACGTCACGTGTGCCTTCCAAGTCCCCATCCGCGTGGGGGCTGGTTCAGCACGTTCAGGACTCGGCACCTGCTCCTCCTCGTGCAGCTCGGCCTCCGTCTCGGTGACCACTCCAGACGCCGCGCCGCCTTCCTGGAGACCCCACAGGCACCGCAGCTCCGCCCCCGCTCCCACCAGCCTCGCCTCCTCTGGGCCTTCCAGCAGGCCCTGCCCAGGCACCACCCCCACGCTGTGGAAAGCAGGCCCGGCCGGCCGGGGTGGGAGGCACGTGTGTCTCTCCTGAGGCTCCCCCGCTCACGTCTGAGTGTGCACGATCCTTTCCTGCTCTTTAGCTACGGGCTCAGTGCAGCTGGGGGTCTCTCTGGGCCCAGCCTGGGCTCTCCATCCCCGCGACCCCATTTGGGGCTCCCATCCCCCACCACAGTTCAGGCAAATATTTCAAAAAATAGGCGCTGTGGTGTAGCAGGTAAAGCCGCCGGCTGCAGTGCCAGCATCCCACATGGATGTCCTGGCTGCTGTACTTCTGATCCAGCTCTCTGCTAGGGCCTGGGAAAGCAGCAGAACACGGCCCAAGTCCTTGGCCCTGCACCCATGTGGGAGACCTGGAAGAAGCTCCTGGCTCCTGGCTTTGGATCAGCTCATCTCTGGCTGTTGCAGCCATCTGGGAGGTGAACCAGCGGATGGAAGGAAGACCTCCCTCTGTCTCTCTCTCTGCCTCTGCCGCTGCCTGTCTGTAACTCTGTCTGTCAAATAAATAATCTAAAAAACAACAACAACAACAACAAAAATCTGGCACTGGGTACCCTTCCCATGTTCACGTCCTCCCTCCAGGGGTGACTGAGCGCCTACTGTGTGCTGGGAGCCGGGGGTGACTGAGCGCCTACTGTGTGCTGGGAGCTGTTCCCCTGGCATTGTCTCAGCCTGGGCTGTCGCAGGGGAGCTCGGGAGCTGAACTTGAAGCCGTTTCACGTCCCCCGCCTGACCTGAAGCCAATGCCCCCTGGACGCTGACGCTCAAGGAGAGGACCCTGCCTCGGGCTCTGGCCGTGGCCGTGGCTGTGGCTGCCTCAGGGGCTGGGCACCTGGGCCGCTGCTTCTCTTCTCCTTCACAAATCTCCCCTCTGCCTCCATTCACACCTGGCCCTGGGGGGTGGGGAGATTCTGCTCACAGGACTGCCCTCCCTGCCATGGGTGGGTGTGGCTTTTCCCAGGGGTGGCACACACCAGAGCAGAGAGAGCAGCAGATGACACCGTCTGCACCCCTGGGTGACACAGCACCTAGCAACACGCCCCACACAGGAACACGCCCCACACGGGAACACGCCCCACACGGGAACACGCCCCACACGGGAACACCCTCCACACGGGAACACGCCCCACACGGGAACACCCTCCACACAGGAACACCCTCCACACGGGAATATCCTCCACATGGGAACACGCCCCACACGGGAACACGCCCCACACGGGAACACGCCCCACACGGGAACACCCTCCACACGGGAACACGCCCCACACGGGAACACGCCCCACACGGGAACACGCCCCACACGGGAACATGCCCCACATGGGAACACCCTCCACACGGGAACACGCCCCACACGGGAACACACCCCACATGGGAACACGCCCCACACGGGAACACGCCCCACACGGGAACACCCTCCACACAGCATCATGCCCCACATGCACACAGTTAGCAATCCCAGACAGCCTGACGTGCTGACACGGTGCTGCACATCTTCGCTGAGGGTGAGGGGTCTGTGGGGGGCTGTGAACCTTGCTGATGGCGGGAGGCTTGGGAGGCTGCAGGTGATACAAGACCGGTCTGAGCTGGTTGAAGTGGGGGTGGCGGGGGTGGTGATGGTGGCTCAGGCCCTGGGAGCTGTGTTCCACTGTGTGTGTAGGGACATTTCTGTGTTGAAAAACCTGCAGGCTTCACACACATTGGTTTTTTTAAATTAATTTGTTTGAGAGGCAGGGAGAGGGAGGGGGAGATGGAGAAGGAGAGGAAGTAGGAGAGGGAGAGGAAGTGGGAGAGAGAGGGAGAGGTGTGGGGGAGAGGGGAGGGGGAGAGAGAGGGAGAGGGGAGGGGAGAAGGGAGAGGGAGAGGGGAGGTGGAGAGGGAGAGGGAGAGGGGAGAGGGAGAGGGGAGGTGGAGAGGGGAGGTGGAGGGGGAGAGGGAGAGGGGAGAGGGAGATGGGAGAGGGAGAGGGGACGTGGAGTGGGGACGTGGAGTGGGGAGGAGAAGAGGGAGAGGGAGAGGGGAGAGGGAGAGGGAGAAGGGAGGAGGAGAGGGAGAGGGAGAGGGAGGAGAGGGAGAGGGAGAGGCAGAGGCGGAGGGGGAGGTGGAGGGGGAGGGGGAGGGGGAGGTGGAGGGAGAGTCAAATGTCTGTGCCTCCAGCAGCTGGGAGCCTGGATCTCAATGCAGGTGTTGCAGGTGGGTGACGGGACCCAATCCCTTAGGGCATCGCTGCGGCCGCCTGGGTGACTTAGCAGGAAGCTGGAGTCTGGAGCCAGAGCGGGGGATCGAACCAGGTGCCCTAGGCCAAACGCCCACTCCACTCACGCTTAATTTGGTCACCGATCCGTCTTTATCCAGGGCGTGGCGCTAAGGCTTTGAGATCCTTGAAACACTGACTTCTGATTTTTTAAAAGTGTTTGGATATATTTTATTTATTGGAAAGGCAGAGAGCCAGACGGACAGCGATTCCCCCTACACTGATCCACACCCCGGCCCCTGCCTTAGAATGCCTGCAGCAGCTGGGGCTGGGCCAGGCTGAGGCCAGCAGGCGGGAGCCCAGTCCAGGTCTCCCACGTGGGCGGCAGGGCCCGAGCACTCGAGCCTTCGCCTGCGGCCTGCACAGTGGCTGGAAGCCGGGTTGGGAGCAGAGCCAGGACCCCAGCAGGCGCTGTGACGTGGGTGCGTGCTCCAAGCACTGCCCTTCACCCCCTTTGAGGTAGGTGTTTTTGAAGCTCTGACTTTAATTCATGAATGACCAAGAGGTCCACGGAGACTGCGCCTGTCGGGTTTTGGGGGAGATGACAGACGTGTGAAGGGGGAGAATAACGGGACGAGGACACGGTGGGGCGGTGGGCGCGGCTGCAGGCTTTACGGGGCTGGCCAAGTGCCCCTCCACAGGGGTGCAGTGGAGGGAACAGTGCCTGCTCACCCCGCTGGGGATGGGTGGAGGGGTCTGGGTGCCCACAGTGGCTCTGATTGGCGCTCTGCTCCAGGCGCCCGGGGCGATCGGGCGACAGGAACACCCCCGGCCTCAGGGCCTGTGCCTCTCCGCAGGGCATGGCGCAGGCGGGGACGACGGCGCCGCCCGGGGAGGCCCCGCGCCCGCCGCCGGTTTTCAAGCTGGTTCTGTGGGGCAGCGGCTCGGTGGGCAAGTCCAGCCTGGCCCTTCGCTACGTGAAGAATGACTTCAGGAGCGTCCTGCCGACCGTGGGCTGTAAGTGACCTCTGCTGACCCTCGCGTGGGAGGGTCCCCCGGGGATCCCCAGCTGGCCCAGCGCACGCTGGTCTGTGGCGGTGGGGCCAGTGGGGGGGAATCCAGAGGACAGGCTGCAGAGGCGCAGGGTCAGGATGGGGGCCCTGCGTGTGACAGGGGTGGGGTCTCCCAGGCTGAGACCCCCAGAGCCAGTGGCGAGAAGGCAGAGGTGGTGGGACCAGCGGGGGCTCCAAGCCCCTCACCAGGACGCTGGAGTCAGCTCCTTTACAAAATACAGCAGGGCACTGGGTCTGGCCTGCGGTGGACTTCGGTGGACAGCAAAGGCCAGCGTGGGCCTGGCCAAGCCCGGGGTGGAGGGCCTCGTGCCCAGGGTGGGGGCTTAGGCTGGGGAGAGGCAGAGTACCAGCCCCAGGAAGGAGCTCCCCCGGGAGACCCCGGGTGCGTCCCAGAGCTGCCAGCGTTTCCTAGTGACATCTCCTGGTGCGACGGTGGCACCTCGTGCTCGTGTGCACATCCGCGGGGAAGCCGGCGGGTCCCCGAGCAGCGGGCTGTGCGCAGGGGAGGGTGGGAGGGGACGCTGAGGCCACGCCCACACGACCAGCGGGCTGTGCGCGCAGGGGAAGGTGGGAGGGGACGCCGAGGCCACGCCCACAGGAGCAGCGGGGAAGGTGGGAGAGGACGCCGACGCCACGCCCACAGGAGCAGCGGGCTGTGTGCGCAGAGGGGAAGGTGGGAGGGGACGCTGAGGCCACGCCCACACGACCAGCGGGCTGTGCGCAGGGGAAGGTGGGAGGGGACGCCGAGGCCACGCCCACAGGAGCAGGGGGCTGTGCGCAGGGGAGGGTGGGAGAGGACGCTGGGGCCACGCCCACAGGACAGGGGGCTGTGTGCGCAGGGGAAGGTGGGAGGGGACGCTGAGGCCACGCCCACAGGACAGGGGGCTGTGCGCGCAGGGGAAGGTGGGAGAGGACGCCGAGGCCACGCCCACAGGAGCAGCGGGCTGTGCGCGCAGGGGAAGGTGGGAGGGGACGCTGAGGCCACGCCCAGTGCCTTCGGCTGCGCCGCCCACTCACTCCCCTGCTGAGCGCTCAGCTTTGCGCATGTCCCGAAGCCCCTGGAAACGTGTCCATTTCCTTCAACCTGGGCTGTTGCTCAGCTGGGCAGACTCAGCTGGTGGCTGAAATGGAAAGAAGGAACCGAGGCGCTTGGCCGTGGTCTGCAGTGCCGGCAACCCGTGTGGGCGCTGGTTCAAGTCCCGGCTGCTCCACTTCCGATCCAGCTCCCTGCTCATGCACCTGGGAGAGCAGTGGAAGATGGTCCAAGTCCTTGGGCCCCTGCACCCGCGTGGGAGACCCTGATGAAGCTCCTGGCTCCTGGCTTCAGCCTGGCCCAGCCTCAGCCATTGCAGCCATTTGGGGAGTGAAGCCGCAGGTGGAAGACCTCTCTCTCTGTCTCTCTCCCCTTCTCTCTGTAACTTTGCCTTTCAAATAAATAAAATAAATCTTTAAAAAAGGCAAAGCCACTTTGTTATGTTCAGATTTAGTGCAGACACTTTAATGCGGGGAAATGAGATGCTAGTTAGAGACCAATCCCTCATTAATGCACACTCGCTGGGTTTTGTTCTTTGAAGATTTTTAAAATTTATTTGAAAGACATTTACAGAGAGAGGTAGAGACAGAGAGATCTTCCATCTGATGGTTTACTCCCCAGACGGTGGCAATGGCCAGGGCTGGGCCAGTTTGAAACCAGGAGCCAGGAGTTTTACCCAGGTCTCCACGTGGGTGCAGGGGCCAGAGGACCTGGGCCATCGTCCTCTGCTTTCCCAGGAGCATTAGCAGGGAGCTGGGTTGGAAGTGGAGCAGTCGGGACTTGAACCAGCGCCCGTATGGGAGCAGCACTGGATCCTTTTCAAAGTGGAACAGGAATAGTGAGAAGTCAGGATCAGCAGGAGTGTGAGGTCTGTCTGCCACCTGCTGGTGACAACTTGAAATACAAGCACATCGGGGCCTAGAGGCTTGGCTGGAAAGGACGGGGATGGCAGGGGGAGGGGCAGGGCGGCCAGTCCCGGGCAGGAGGAAGAAGAGGGCGGGGACGCACGTGCCGGCCTCTGCAGTCCTCTCTTCTCCGGGATCTGAGCATCACCCTGGGAACAGGTGCCGCACAGGGCCGTGTGGGAAAAGAGAAGACGGATTTAGGAAGCTCGGTGTGAGCGCCGAGTCCCGGCAGCCGACGGAGCCAGGCCCGAGGCTGGGCAGCCTGGGCAGCCTTCCCCTGCATCCGCTGCGTGTGGTGGCTTGGAACCTGTCCAGCCTCGACCGCCACCCCTCGGAGCTGGGGGCCGTTGGTCCGAGTGTCCGGACCGCCGCTTTGTTGGACCTGGGAGCTTGTCCTCCAGGCCTCGGGGCTGGGCTGGCAGCAGAGCCTGGCCCTGGCCCTGCCGAGAGCCGCCCTGACCTCAGCTCTCACCCTGGCCCTCACAGCGAGTGGAATTGTGTCCCCCAAAGGAGCGGTCAAGCCCCCAGCCTCAGAACCCGTGTGCTTTGGAGGAAGGGGGTTTGCAGGGCGGGAGGAGTTCGGGGACGGAGAGGAGGCGGCCCTGGATTGGGGTGGTCTCTCAGTGCAGTGGCGAGGTCTTTTAGGAAGAGGGGAGGGGAGACCCAGGGGAGGGGAGGCGGAGGCTGGGGGAGGCGAGCACCAGCCAAGCAGTGCCGAGGGTTGCCGGGAACCCGGAAGCCAGAGGGAGACCGGCGGTGGATTCAAAGCCGCCCTGAGCCCTGCCCTCCAGAGCGGAGAGTGCAGCTGCTTCGTGGAGCCGTGCGGCTGTGGTCACTCTCCGTGGCAGCCGCCGGACGCCCATGCGCTGTCCTTGGAGTGAACATTTCCGTGTCACACACGAGCTCTGACTGCCAGAGTCACCCGGTGGTCTGCAGCCTCCCCCTGGGGTCTGGGCAGGTGCCCCCTTGTCTGTGTGGACTCAGGCCGGGCACTGGGACCTCCTGCAGCCCCTGTCCCCTCTGCTGTGGTGACAACCCCAGACAGGTCACACGGCACTGGCAGAGACCTCGACGCTGTGAAACAAGCGTTGGGAAACCACACGGCCCTGCCCCGGATGTCGTCGAAGGGTTTGGGGGTGCATCTTTGTGTGATGGTTAAACAGGTGCACAGGTGAGGGGCACCGAGCCCCTGCGTCCAGGCGCTCACTGCCCCCCGGGGAGACAGGGAGAGAGCCTGGAAAGTTCCGTGCGCAGGGTCCAGGGAGGCTGTGGTAGACGCCCCTTAGTGGAGAGTGAGGAGCCCACAGCCAGCCCGAGAGGAGGGCACACAGCCACCAGCGCAGAGTCGGGGTGGGGATCAGTGGGAGGTGAGGGCGGATGGGGGTGGGTGCTGGGGTGGCCCCGGGGCCTGTTTGCAGGACAGGGCTGGCGGCCAAGAGGCCAGCGGTGCCGAGGGTCTGGGGTCCCCGAGTGGTGGGGCTCCTCTGTCCCTGGAGACCTCACCGCCGGCCCTGTGGTCCGGAGTTTCTTGGAGAATCTATCTCTCCCGCCACAGCGCCCTTGACTGCCCACGCCCTGCCCTAGGTGGGGCCCCCAGCTTCCAGAGGGCGTGGGTCTGTCTGTCTGTCCATCCGACACGGTCTGCCTGTGGCTGAGGCTCTCTGGCCCCTGCTCCAGGCGCGTTCTTCACCAAGGTGGTGGACCTGGGGGCGACCTCGGTGAAGCTGGAGATATGGGACACGGCCGGCCAGGAGAAGTACCACAGCGTCTCCCACCTCTACTTCCGGGGCGCCAGCGCCGCCCTGCTGGTGTATGACATCAGCTGCAAGGTAGGCCTCGCCTGGGGCCCCCCCCCCAGCTCCTGCCAGCCCCCATGTCTTTGCTGTGCGGTGACCACGTGAGTTGGTGCCACTTGCCTCCCCCTGGAAGCCCACCTGACAGCCCCTCCTCCTCCTCTGCTCCTCCCTGGTGCCCCCCAGAATGCACACACACACACACACACACTCGCCACTCACAAGCAGGTCCCGGGGGCTCCAGGCCCAGCCTCGGGGCGGGTAGTGGTCGTGGGCACCTGAGGAAGGGGAGAGGGTCTGTCCAGGAACGTGGACAGGCCCCTGTTACTGGGGGCAGAGAGGGGCTCTGGGACCAGGTCTATGGGGTACTCGGGTCAGGTCCCTCCCCTCCTCGTGGTGAAGAGGGCCTCTTGAGCATGTCCAGGGTGCAGGCCTCGGGGCTCAGCGTGACCCCGAACGCCCCATGCCCCCTGGTCTCTAGGGCCCTGTGCCGGGGGTGGTGACAACGTCCCATAGTGCACGCCCTGCTGGGGGCCCTGTGCCGGGGGTGCTGACGTCCCCAGTGCACGCCCTGCGGGGGCCCTGTGTCAGGGGGGGTGCTGATGTCCCCAGTGCACACCCTGCGGGGGGCCCTGTGCCGGGGGTGCTGACGTCCCCAGTGCACGCCCTGCTGGGGGCCCTGTGCTGGGGGTGCTGACGTCCCCAGTGCACACCCTGCTGGGGGCCCTGTGTCAGGGGTGGTGACAACATCCCCAGTGCACACCCTGCTGGGGGCCCTGTGCGGGGGTGCTGACGTCCCCAGTGCATGCCCTGCGGGGGCCCTGTGCCGGGGGTGCTGACGTCCCACAGTGCACGCCCTGTGGGGGCCCTGTGCCGGGGGTGCTGACGTCCCCAGTGCACGCCCTGCGGGGGCCCTGTGCCAGGGGTGCTGACGTCCCCAGTGCATGCCCGGCTGCACAAAGCACCCAGAAGGGAACAGGCTGTGGGCCTGTTCAGGGCCAGCCACAGTGTCACCGGCTGGTTCCTTCTGGAGTGGCCACGGAAGAGCACCGCGAGGTTCCCCTGACGCCCAGCTGTCTGTCTGTCTCAGGACTCCTTCCACAAGGTCCGGCAGTGGCTGGAGGACCTGGAGCAGGAGGTGCACCTGGGAGAGGTGGTGGTGATGCTGGTGGGTAACAAGACGGACCTCAGCCAGCAGCGGGAGGTGGCCTTCCAGGTACGCTGGCGCCTCGCCCACCCTCACAAGTGTGCGCTCACACCCACAGGCGTGCACACATGCGTGTACACACGGCTGCCACACACGCACACACACTCCTGAACACAGATCCACCCACACTCACGTGTGGACCACACTGCACAGTCACACATGTGTGCACACATACACGTGACATACACACACACACTCCTGAACACAGATCCATCCACACTCACATGTGGACCACACTGCAGTCACACACACGTGTGCACACATACACATGACAGACACACACACACACTCCTGAACACAGATCCACCCACACTCACGTGTGGACCACACGGCAGTCACACACGTGTACACACATACACATGACACACACACACACACTCCTGAATGCAGATCCAACCACACTCACGTGTGGACCACACTGCACATTCACACACATGTGCACACATACACATGACAGACACACACACACACTCCTGAACAGATCCACCCACACTCACGTGTGGACCACACTGCACAGTCACACACACGTGTGCACTCATACACATGACACACACACACTCCTGAACGCAGATCCACCCACACTCACGTGTGGACCACACTGCACAGTCACACACACGTGTGCACACATACACATGACAGACACACACACACTCCTGAACGCAGATCCACCCACACTCACATGTGGACCACACTGCACAGTCACACACACGTGTGCACACATACACATGACAGACACACACACACACTCCTGAACACAGATCCACCCACACTCACATGTGGACCACACTGCACAGTCACACACGTGTACACACATACACATGACAGACACACACACTCTTACACACACACACACTCCTGAACACAGGTCCACCCACACTCACGTGTGGCCCACACTTTGCATCACATACATGTGAACATGCAGGCACACAATACTTCTTGGAGAGCTCAGACTCAGAGGGTGATGCTCACGTGTGGGGAGGCCATGACCCCCCCCCCGGACCCTCCTGAGAGCCGGCTGCAGGCTTGGGCGTGCATGCTGCACGGGGAGCGGGGTCTCTCACTGCCAGCCCCCAAGGGCCCTGCCCCGGCCACCTGGCCACCTGGTTTACAAGGAAACCACGGCCCTTCCTTCCCGTCCACTCTCGTGGACTTGTGCGGGCTTTCAGCTCTTTTTCTTCGGCTTCACTCGCTTGTTGAACAACAGGCGCGTGAACTCATCCGGACTTTGCTGGGAGCTGAGTGAGCGAGGGCTAGAAAGTCAGGTGGCCGTGGGTCTGCAGAATCACCCGGCAGCCTCCTGCTGCAGGGGACCACCCTGGAGGGGCTGCGGGACCCTGAGCGGGCAGCAAGGGCCTCTGCGGGCTCTGTCCGGGAGGCGGGTTGGGCAGAGTCGGGGTGGAGATCGGCGGGAGGTGAGGGTGTGTATCTCTATGTGTATCACATGTGTATCTCTGTGTTTGTCACATGTGTATCTCCATGTGTGTCACATGTGTATCTCCATGTGTGTCAGTCTGTGCACATGGATCTGTGAGAGGTGCATGTAAGAGGGCATGCGTGTGTGTGTGTAGGGCACGTGTGTGCACATGTGCCTGCGGGATGTGTGTGTCTCGGTGTTTATCTGGGTGACGCATGTGTGTGTGCACACCTCTGCATGCTGGAGGCGTGTGTGTCTAGGTGTGTAAGTGTGTGTAGGGGGTGTGCATGTGCAATAGGTGGGGTGTGTGGGTGCATACATGTGCCAAGGGATGCGGGGCTGGGTTTGCAGGACGATGGCTCATGGAGGCCAAGTGGGTGCCCTGGGTGCTGGGCTGAGGGGGGTCACACTGAGGACGCAGGTGGGGCAGAGACCCCTGCAGCTGGCACTGAGTGTGGGGGTCAGGAGCGGGTGTGTGATCTGGGGACAGTTCTTGCAGGCAGTCTGGGATGGTGGAGAGGGCACTGTGTGGATGAGGAGACCCTGGGAGGCTGCAGGCCCAGCTTGGCCACGGAGGGGGCTTTGGCGGCACCTGCTGCCTGTCCTGGGCCGGCCGGGCTGGTGCTTGCTGGGAGAGCCTGTGGGTTAGACCCTGCTGGGGTGGCCACCCTGGGGCTTGGGCCACCGACTATCCTGGGGACTTCCCTGGCTGCCACCCTGCCTCTTGCTCCTCTGAGCACTGACTGAGCTGGGCCAGGCCTGGGAGTGGGGTGCAGGGCGTGGGGGACAGCACGCTCGCCTGCGCCCTCCTCCCGCTTCCCCGTGACAGCGTCTTAGGAAGCAGGGGCCAATCAGTCAGGAGCTTAGGCTCCCGTGGCCATCAGCCCGGGCCCCGTCCAGGTTGTACCAGTGTCCCCACGCACGACCTGCTCCCCCCGGGCTCCCCCCGGGTTCCCAAGCCCTTCTGCCTGCCCCGCGGTTCCGTGGGCTGCTCCGCATCTGTTCCCTGCCCCAGCTGGAGTCGGCCATTCCCCCACAGGGTTCTGGGTCCCTTTTATGGGAGAATGAACTCACTTTTTTAGAGAAAGATGTGTTTATTTGGAAGGCAGAGCAGAGAGAGGAGAGATTTATTTGCTTACTTGAAAGGCAGAGTGAAAGAGAGAGAGAGGGGAGGGATGGACAGAGGCACACGTGGCGGCTGGGAGGGGGTGGGGCTGGCGGACTGGCCTCTTGAGAGCTGCCTTGGGGGTGGGTGGGGTCAGGGAGAGGGAAGGCCATGTGGGCACGGCTGAGAAGCCAGGCAGGGCCCAGGCTGGTGTGGACGCAGCGGGCAGGGCTGGCTGGGCCCTGGGCTCCTAGGTCGATGTGGGCAGGACTGGTGGGAGCGGGGCTGGACCCTCCGTGGCCGCCAGGAGCTTCTCGGCCTCGGGAGAGTTGGAGGCTGAGGGAGGCGCTCGTTCCCCCGGGACCCCCAGTCCTGCGCCTGCACCCCTACTCCCGGGCCCGGCCTGATTTCCTGTCTGGCTCCTCACAGCGAGGGCCTGGGTGGGCTCCCAGCAGGGCCTCTCCCCCTCCCTTCTCCTGCTCCTGGGTCCCCCCCCCCCCCCCGGCCAGACCCTGGGGCAGGGGGAGGGCCTTCCCTGCCATTTCCATGCAGAACCCGCCTGTCCCTCTCTGGTCCTGGCCTGGCCCCTCCTGCAGGGCCAGGACCCCGGCTTACAATGCCGAGAGCTGGCGAGGCAGTGGGGGCAGCCAGGGGCCATCGCCGCTCCTGGGTCCCCCTCCCGGTGTCACTGGGACCCCTCATCACAGACTGTGTTCCGGCTGTTTCTGCAGGAAGGGAAGGAGTTCGCGGAGAGCAGACGGCTGCTGTTCCTGGAAGCCTCAGCCAAGCTCAACTACCAGGTGTCAGAGATCTTCAGCACCGTGGGTGAGCACAGGCCCCCACCGGGCAGCGGGGCAGGGGGCAGGGGCTCACCCCCGCGGGCAGGGGGCAGGGGGCAGGGGCTCACCCCCGCTGGGCAGGGGGCAGGGGACAGGGGCTCACCCCTGCCGGGCAGGGGGTAGGGGCTCACCTCCGCTGGGCAGGGAGGCAGGGGGCAGGGGCTCACCTCCGCCGGGCAGGGGGCAGGGTGCAGGGGCTCACCCCTGCTGGGCAGGGGGGCAGGGGTCAGGGGCTCACCCCTGCTGGGCAGGGGGGCAGGGGGCAGGGGCTCACCCCCGCCGGGCAGGGGGCAGGGGACAGGGGTTCACCTCCGCTGGGCAGGGGGGCAGGGGGCAGGGGCTCACCTCCGCCGGGCAGGGGGCAGGGGACAGGGGCTCACCCCTGCTGGGGGGGCAGGGGGCAGGGGCTCACCTCTGCTGGGCAGGGGGCAGGGGCTCACCTCCGCTGGGCAGGGGGCAGGGGGCAGGGGCTCACCTCCGCTGGGCAGGGGGGCAGGGGGCAGGGGCTCACCTCCGCGCCTCGCCCGCTTCCCTCCCTGTGTGCTGGTGTTAGTGCACATGGCTGCTGCGGGAAGCTTGTCTTTCCCAAGCGAGAGTCCAGACGCGAGGCAGTGCAGTGGGAAGGAGGAAGTGAGGTTGAGTGGAGAGTGCGCCTGGCAGCCCAGGCGGGCGTCCGGGGGAGGTTCAGACCGGGTTGCTGTGCACGTGCAAGCGTGTGCCCCGGATTCTCCTCCGCTCGTTCCTCTGCTGGGCAGTTACTGGGCAGGGGCTTTCTGGACGTGGCCCTTAAAAGTTCCCATTTTCCTCAGCGCCCCTTGCACACACAGGCTAATGTCTACCCGGCTGCCCTCACACCGGGCCCCCTAGCCTGGCTGCAGCAGGGAGACAAGGAGGCTGGGGTTTGCAGCTGTGGGCGCATGTCGGGAGGGACATCTGAGGGCTGCCTGGCCTGCGGGGCTGAGTGGGGCTGGGGGCTCCCCTCCCCTTCTCCCCACCCCGCTTCTGTCTCTCACAGCCCGAGAACTATTGCAGAGAGAAGGCTCCAGGCAGGGCCAGGTCCAGCGGGGCCGTGCCGCTGTGGTTCTCAACCAGGGGCCCACCAGGCCGGCCAAATGCTGCAGCCACTAGGGCGGCCACCCAGGAGGGCCATGGGAGGATGCCCCCGCCCAGCCTCGGGGGTCTCTGGCCTGGACCGTGTGCAGAGCGAGCCGCCGCCATCACCATGGATGCCGCATTGCTGCTAAGCCCGGAAATCCTGGAAGTCGGCGTCTTACCCCAGAACCATGGCCAAGAGCTCCCCGAGACCCTGGGCCAGGTGCACCTGCGCCCTCCTGGGCTGCCACCTCTCGGCTGCCTCGCCCCGGACACAGGAAGGAGCTCACAACGGCGGGGCTCCCACAGACGCTCTGCTCACCGTCGTGGGTGGACGCGCACTCACCTGGTTTGGGTGGTGGCCCTGGGGCTGAGCCCACCTGCCTCTGGGAGGTGGGGGGGGGGGTTCCACTGTGGGGGGTCTCAGTGAAGCTGTCCTTGGAGGCGGGGCCTGGCAGAGGGCAGCCGGGGCTGGGGGCGCTGGCCCCTCCCTCTGTCTTCTCCCACTGGGGTTCTGATGAAGCCTCAGGCCCCTGGGGCCGAGACATAAATTGTAGCTTGGACGCATTTCTTCTCTGAGCCCCGTTTGTGGGGACGAGGGAGGATCATGGCAGATCAGGACACTGGGGGCGTTTCTATGTGGGTTCTGGTGCCCAGGGTAGCACAGGCCATGTCGCCGGACAGGAGTTCCCTGTGGAGGGGTCGCTTCCTGGACACACGGTGAGTGCTCGCCTTGTAGGACCTCTGCCCTGTGGGAGGCATTTCTGTCGGGGCTCCTGGCCCCTGGCCTCAGCGAGTTGAGGGTGTTTGCTGGTTTTCAGCCTGCATCTGGACCATCGTAAGAAGGGATGGCAGGCACGGGGCACGCAGTTACATTGCCTCTGGGGAGACCAAGGGAGGGATGGGTTGCAGTGCTGGCTCAAGTACTTGGGTCCCTGCCGTCCATCCAGGAGACCTGGAGGGAGTTCCCTGCTCCTGGCCGTGGCCTGGCCCCGGTCTAGCTGTTGTGAGCATCTGGGGAGTGAACCAGAAGGTCGCTCTCTCGCTCTCTGTCTCTCTGCCTTGCAAATAAAAAAAGGCCAACACACAAGGCAGCACTAGCCAGCCTGTGAGGACCAGCTGTGGTTTTCCATTTTTCCTTGTCCAAAAGGGGCTCTGTGCCGGGAGCCTCCATCTGCATCCTCAGCTCCTCCGCCCGTGTACCTGTGCGTGGAGGACGACAGCCGTGGCCCTGGGGTGGGGGTGCTCTGTCCGGGGAGCCCTGGCCGGGGACTGAGAAGAGGACACGGGCTCTGTCCGGCTCTGGGAGGTCACTTGGGGTGGCTGTGTCGCTGCAGCCCCTGTGGGAGCTGCTCCCTCCTCCGGGCTCCAGCAGGGACTCCCCCCCACCCCAGCCCAGCTGCTTTCCTGGGGTCTCTGCCTTCCAGCCGCCCCTGGCGCTGCTCCCCCGTGTGCCCACTGGCAGATCCGGCTTCTCCTCCAGGGAGATGCGAACAGCTCAGGTCTCCTGGGATTCAGGCTTTGTTGGTGCATTAGGACCTAAAAGCAACAGACGGACAACACTGCCTGGGAGAGGGAGGCAAAGACAAAGCAGCAGCTTCCTGGGCCTGCTTCCTCCTCCGCCAGCGATCCAGGTCTCTGCAGATCATTCTCTGCCTTGCGTTCTGCAGACGGTGGCCAGCGACCACTAGGGGGCGCCCCGGACCCACGCAAGGCAGCCCTTCCAGCAGGCCTGGGGGTCTGAGGCCGCTCTTGCCCAGGGCCCAGGGCCCAGTTGACACCCGCGGGTCTGACGTCTGTGTCCCTGTCCATGTCCTATGGGGCTCCCCCGTCCCCCCCCAACTCCAGGCAGATGGGGCCGCGCCTGGGCTCACCCGGAAGGGCACAGCCACATCCCAGCCAGGGCTCTGATGAAGTCAGCTGACTCTGGCAGATTCGGACCCTCCCAGAGGGTGTCCAGGCAGGGTGGAGACCTCGGTCTGTACTTCCATGGGGTCCCCGGGCCCGGGACATCTGACGCAGGCCAGCGGCTGGGCTTCCAGCAGAAAGGTGGAGTCCCCCAGGGTCGCCTCGCCACCCCTGCACCTGCCCTGGGCCCACGACCCCCCCTCCCCTCCCCATCCTCAGCCGCAGGACGCCAGGGGAGAGTAAGTGAGGTCCGTTTCTGCCAGCACAGGGGAGGTGACCCTGGGGGGCTGCTGACCGAGGTGGTGCAGGTCCCAGGCCCCCTGCCCAGGCCCCAAATGCAGCCTAGGGGCTGCACCTGCCCTTCCCAGGTGGGATTTGGCCTGGGGCTGTCCTGAGCTGTTGTGTCGGGGAGTGGGGGTGATGCTGATGAGCCCTCTGCACCCCGACCTGCGCCTCCAGCCCTCCCCCTCCCTCTCGTCCTCTGACCCTGTTCTCATCTCCCATTCCCAGACAGAGCCACTTTCTCTTACAATTATTCCCCTCCCGGGGCTCCCGTTGGCTGATTCGGGACAATTAGAGCAGCAGCAATCAGGACAAGGTGCTGAACAAGGAGAAAAGAGCAGGAGGAGAAATGCCTTCGTTGGAGGGATCACTGCTGGGTGGGGACGGGGTTACAGTGCGGCCACCGGGTGACGTCAGCAGCGAAGGGGCCAGGACAGGAGGGGCTGCGGGCTGCGGTCAGGCTCAGCGCCTACCCAGTGGGACCCAGGACGCCGGCTCGGGCGGGAGGAGGCACCCAGGACATTTGTGCCGCGGTGAAGAGCTCAGTTCGAGGAGGCCCGCAGACCTGCCTCTCGGATGACGGGAAGCAGGTGGGGTGACGTCAGCAAGTCCTCGAAAGTCCTCGTGGGACACAGTGAAGAACCAAGGGACCAAGGGGGGTACCGCACGGCAGCTGCGAGTTTACACCGGAGCCTGCTGCTTCTTTCTTTATAAAAGCTTTATTTTTTACTTATTTGAAGGCAGAGTTGGAGAGATAGGGAAAGACAGAGATCTCCCACTGCTGGTTCACTCTCCAAGTGGCTGCAATGGCCGGAGCCGGGTCAGGCAGAAGCCAGGAGCCAGGAGCTTCTTCCGGGTCTCCCATGTAGGTAGGTGCAGAGACCAAGAACTAGGGCCGTCTTCCACTGCTTCCCCTGGCCATTAGCAGGGAGCTGGATCGGAGTGGAGCAGCCGTTTCCGGACCAGTGGCCGTAGGGGATGCAGACGGAGACTCAAGCTGCTACTCCACAATGCCGGCCCTGGAGCCTGCGTACAAACGAGACCAAGACCTTGGTGCTGTGCTTGGGTGTCTGAGTGGGGACTACATGCCAGATGACGTTACTACTTCTCCATCTTTTGTGATGGCTGCGTGGATATGTGGGGCATTGTCCCTGTTCGTGGGAGAAGCTGAACTACTCAGGGAAATGCTATGATGTCTACAGCTCGGTTACAAGTGGGAGAGAGAGAGGAGGGCGGGAGGGGACAGAGATAAAGAAAATAGAATCACAATTGTTGCTTTCTGGGGAGAATGGGTTCTACTTTTAAAAAATTTCAGTTCATTTATTTGTGTTCATTTGAAAGGCAGAGAGAGACAGAGAGATGCCTTCCATCCACGGGCAACAGCCAGGGCTGGGCCAGGAGCCCAGAACTCCTCTGTACTTCCTACGTGGGCGGCAGGACCCAGGCGCTTGCTGCCTCCCAGGGCGTGCGTCAGTAGGAAGCTGGCTCAGCAGTGGAGCCGGGACGGGAGCCCAGGCTCCGCTGTGGGACACAGGAGTCCTGTGGCATCTTGGCCTCCGTGCCGCTGTCTGCTCCGGCACGGCAGTGTAGCAGAGGCTCTGAAGCCAGCTGGAGACTGTGGGTGCTGTTTATGATTTTTAAAAAATATTCTAATTATTTATTTAAAAGGCAGAGTTAGAGAGAGAGAGAGAGAGAGAGAGAGAGGTCTCCATTGATGGTTTACTCCCAAAATGACCACAATGGCCAGGGCCGGGTCAGGCCAAAGCCAGGATCCTGGAACTCCAACCGAATCTCCCATGTGGGTGCAGAGGCCTAAGTAGTCGGGCTGTCTCCCTCCACTGCCCTCCTGGCACATTAGCAGGGAGCTGCATTGGAAGTGGAGCAGCCAGACTTGGGCCAGTGCCACATGGGCTGCCGGTGTCGCGGGTCAAGGTGGTGGCTTTACCTGCTCTGCCGCAGTGCCGGTCCCTGCGATAACATGGGAGCTTCGCGGCGCGGTTGGGAACTGTCACGGCAGGAAGTTGTAGGGGACATCAAGTCTCGCCCCCTCTCTCTTTTTATTTTATTTATTTATTTTGACAGGCAGAGTGGACAGTGAGAGAGAGAGACAGAGAGAAAGGTCTTCCTTTTCCGTTGGTTCACCCCCCAATGGCCGCTGCAGCCGGCGTACCGCGCTGATCTGAAGCCAGGAGCCAGGTGTTTCCTCCTGGTCTCCCATGCGGGTTAAGGGCCCAAGCACCTGGGCCATCCTCCACTGCCCTCCTGGGCCACAGCAGAGAGCTGGCCTGGAAGAGGAGCAACCGGGACAGAATCTGGCGCCCCGACCAGGACTAGAACCCGGGGTGCCGGCACTGCAGGCGGAGGATTAGCCTATTGAGCTGCGGTGCTGGCCTCGCCCTCTCTCTCTATGAACCACATGATGCCGCCTGCCGGGCACCCCAGGCAGCAGAGGGGCACGGCCTGGGGCCGGGGCCGGGAGTCGGAAGCAGGCCGCTTTGCTAAGGACGCTGGTGTGGAAGGCCAGAGTCTGCCTTCCCCCGGGGGAGCTCAGCCTGACCACTCCCACCTCCAACAGCCTTGCCTCCAGGCTGCAGTAAAGCCACAGATAAGGTCGTGTTCTAGGGTCAGGGCTTCTCCTGGTGAATTCTGGGCTTGGAACAAGGTCATAGTTAGCCAGTGACAGCAGATGAGTGAGGAGCACCTTGGCGATTGCTGGTCTCCAGCCCTCTGGGCCCACTGGGACTCAGTGCTGCCCCCTCCTGGCTGGCAGGGGCAGAGTCCCTTCCCGAAGGCCCATGGGTGGCAGCCCCCAGGGTCCCCAAAGTCCAATGTGATGGTGCCGGGGTGGAGCCTTGGAGAGATTAGGTCACAAAGGTGGAGCCCGTCCAAGGAGAGACATTGGGGAGTTCTCTGTACCACAGGGGACGCCAGGAGAGACGGCCGCCTGCCAGCCATTCTGCCCAGCTCGCAGGAGCCACGACCGTGGGCTTCCAACCTCCAGAAATCAGTGCTCGGTGCTGGCGCAGGCTGGGCAGGCTGGGGCGGCTGCCCCTGCCGGCTGCTGCGAGCACTCGTTTTTAGCCCTCTGGGGCGTGACCCGGGAGTGGCATTGTCTGATCCGGTGTGGAGCAGCCAAGGTGCTTTCCTGGGCTGCTTGGAGGCCTGGCCGGGCCTCTCTTGGCCTGGGAGCAGGTCTGACATCCCTGCGTGGAGGGGCCCAGGGCTGGGAGGTGGCATCATTGTAGCGCAGCCTCAGGTGGGAGGTCCTGGCCAGGGACGGGGGCCCTGGTCCTGCCCCAGACCGTCGGAGTGAGTGGCCCTGAGACTGACATCTGCAAACAGGGTCCATGCAGAGCCCTGGGTGGCGGGAGGGGAGGCGGGCCTCGAGCTTGGGGTGGGCCGCAGCTGGTTAAACCTTCACCCGTGCTGGGCTGGGCCTCGAGGGAGGACCCCCGGGTGTTGGCTGGTGTGTGGAGGCTGCACCTGCTGAGCGCGGGAGTGAGGTGGGGGCTGCTGCCCTGTGGGGTCCAGATGTGGAAACTGAGGCCCAGGCCAAGGCGTGAGTCCTCGGGCCCTGGGCAGAGCCACAGCTGCGCGGTGTGGACGGGTCACGAGCCGGGTGGGAGCAGGCTCTGCTGGTTAGAAGCAGACATCCCATGATTCTTTCCCCTGAGCCAAAGGGAGCTGGAGGGGGCGAGAGGGGCAGGCGGAGCACCGAGGACCCTCCTCCCCGTGGCTGCGAGGTGGGGGGGACTCATCCCCACGCACTGTCTACGCCCACAGGACAGGCACCAAGGGGGTGAACCCTGGCCCTGTCCACCTGGCAGCTGTGATGAACGAGCCCTCTGCCAGGGACGTTGGTCATGGGGAGGCTGGGCCTGGGCAGGGGCTGGGGACACCAGGCGGTCTCTGCACGTCTGCTCCGTCCTGTGGCCCTCCAGCTGCTCTCAAAAGTAAGGTCTAGGGGCCGGCGCTGTGGCGTAGCAGGTGAAGCCGCCACCTACAGTGCCGGCAGCCCATATGGGCACCAGTCCCGGCTGCTCCACTTCCCACCCAGCTCTCTGCTGTGGCCTGGGAAAGCAGTAGATGATGGTCAAGTCCTTGGGCCCCTGCACCCACGTGGAAAACCCGGAAGAAGCTCCTGGCTCCTGGCTTTGGACTGGCACAGCTCCAGCCATTGTGGCCAACTGGGAAGTGAACCAGCAGATGGAAGACTCTCGCTCTCTCTGCCTCTCCTTCTTTCTCTGTGTAACCCTGCCTTTCAAATAAATAAAGAAATCTTTTAAAATAATAAAGCCTAAAAAAGGGATAGTGGGGGCGCTGAGAGAGGACAGGGCTCCGGGGGACTTCGTTCTGCTCCATGTGGTGTGGGGCCCTCCCCAGCCTCGTTCAGTGCGCAGCCTGGGCAGCCATCCAGGACAGCCCGAGTGGGTGGGGCACTGTGTCCTGCAGGTAATGGAGGACGGATCCAGCTCCCTCTCAGGACCAGCGACCTCTGCGGGTCACAGAGCCCTACTCGACCAATCCTTCCCGGCTGACCTCCTGGGAGGGTGGCGCCTTCTGACTTGTCACCACAGAGTCATAGGCGTGCGATCAACAGGGCCGGCATGTTTATTAGGGCTGAAGGGGAATGTGCAGGAGAGGGCGGGGCGGGGCGGGGAAGGCGCCCGGAGTTGGCGTCCTGAGCCGGGCGGTCAGCGGTGCTGGGAGGACTCAGGGCTGCCCTCCCCGGGGAAGTGCACTGGCTGGTGTCGCCGGCCGGCCTTGGCGATGGCCCCCAGGGCAGCCCTCCTCCTGCCGAAGCGGCCCACGGGCCTGATCCCGCGGCTGGTGTACCAGGCGGGGTTGATGTCAGGGGCTGGGGAGAAAAGAGAGAGAGAGCAGGGAGTGGGTTGCCCTCAGCTGGCTGCTGCACTGGGACCCTCCCACTCCACCCCCGCCCTGTGGGTGCCCCGAGGGTCTGGCGAGGCCAGCTCTGGGCAGTGGGTGTGGCTCTCAGGAACTGAGGCACCAGGATCAAGTTCTTCCTCCCAGCGGCCAAGCTGCACCAGCAGGGAGAAGTGAGCCCCTTTCTGGTGGTGGGTGGGAACCCGGGGCCAGGACTCCAGGCTGCTCTGGGTGGGGAGAGGCCTGGAGACAGATCCCTGGCTGAGGAGGTGGACGGGCCCCACCCAGATGCTGGGCGCTGGGGTGGGGAGGGCAGGGGGAGGCACCGCCCAGGGTCTGGGCACTCACTGCGGATCTCCATGGAGTGCTGGTGGGCTCGGCTTGCAGCCCCCCGCAGGGCAAGGCTCAGCAGCAGCAGGCACAGGAGCCAGGCCCTCAGCGCCTTCATCTCCCTGGCTCCTCCTCCTCCTCCTCCGAGGCTCTGTTGCAGGTGGGATCCCGCAGGGGGAGGCTCAGCCTAGTGGCAGAGGGGCAGGGGTGGCGTCACCCATGGGTGTGTGGGGTGTGTGTAGAGCTGGAGCTCAGGTCGTGTGTGCATGTGTGTGAGAGACGAATGTGCACGAGGGTGCGGGTGCATGTGTGTGCATGCACACGCGTGTGTGTGAGCGTGCGTCCTCCTTTGCTCCGTGCTGGGGGGGGAGGACCACCTGGGCTCTCTGGACGTTGCTCACCTTCCCTGGGACCCCTCCTCTCCTCTCTCCCGTGAAGACTGAGTGAGAGGCTCGGGCGTGTGACGGCCTCTGCTCGGTCCCCAGAGACTGAGGGGGTGCTGGAACTGTGGGGGGGGGCCGCTCACGCCTGACCTGGGCAGGGGTGGCCCGGGGCCAGCAGGTGCTGAGCTCAGGCCCAGGCTCGGGGGCTGAGACCTGCGTGTGTGGCTCTTTCCTGCATTTGGCCCAGGGCCCGCTGACCCCCAGTTCTAGCCTTGCCGGGCAGACACCCCTCAGCCAACAGTTCTATCCGCTGTCCCTACAGGCTCACGTTTCTCCCGCAGGCCCCGGCTGCCATCTGCTGAGGCTGCCGGAGAAGCCTGCCGTGCCGGTGCCCGGGACCTCTCCTCACACGGCCAGGCCACCCCCTGAGATCACGGGGCAGGGGCCTGAAACCCGCCCTCTGCCTGTGGGAGCCGAGGTGCTGACCTGTGGGCAACCCCTGCCACAGGTGATCCCTCCTCCCTGCTCCCCCCGTGGCACCTCGGCCACCATCAGAGCCCGGCTGTGGTGGGGGAGGGGTCCCTCTGCCAACCTGGACTCTCCAGACCCCCATCTGAGCCTCACACAGTTTGTTCTTGATCAAGACAATTAAAACACCCGCCCCCACTTCCGAGAGACTTATCGGGGTGCCCCCAGCAGAGGAAATGGGGGTGCCATCTTGAAGACGCATCTACGTGGGCTGGCCTGCTTGTGCCCCAAGGCCAGGGCCCTGGCTGGACGCGTGCAGAGCGTCCCAGGGATGCCAGCGTCGCCTGGCTCCTGACCCCCAGAGCCCTGCTGCCCTCAGAGCTGGGGACCTCCTGGCCGTGCCCTGGGGCGGAGTGGGATGGGTCACCCTTGCCTGGGCCTCCGCCACAGACAGCGCTGGAGAGCCGAGGCTCCGAGGAGGGCAGCTGGCCCTGGACACTGCTCATCCCGCTCGCCGGCAGGGTCCCACGCCCAGAGAAGGCAGAGTCGGGGCAGTGTCCACCCGCACTCTCCAGCCCCACGCGCTACTCACCGTGCTCTGAGCAGCGAGGCGGCCCTGGCTGCACCGGGAGGCCGAGGCTGGCGCCCGCTCCCTCCTTTATAGCCCGGGAGGGAGCGGTGACGCCCCCAGGTGCCCTCCCCTGCTCCAGCTCTGCCCCTCAGGGCGCCCGCCCCCTCCCCGGGCAGCCTCAGGAGTGGGCTTTTTCTTGGCTTTCTTTCTTTTTTTTTTTTTAAACACTCCTGAGCAACGTGATTTGTTCCTTGCTGCATCACATAATTTCATTTGGGCCCAGTGGTTTTAAAACGCATTAAGCCCCTCTTCACTCTCGCCTCTGGGCAGGCGCTGGGGCTGCACAGAGGAAGCCCTAGCCCCTTCTCCGCGGGGTGGGTTTCGGCGGACGGCGGCAGGGCAGAGCTGCAGAGGGCTGACCCACTGCCTCGCCCCCGGGGAGTCCGCGCCCCTGCGAACCGCTCTCCTCCTGGTTCTGAGGGTAAGATACGTTTCCCAGGCTCTCACAGTATCGCTGTTGGACACACACAAGATTATTTTTTACTATAAAAGAGGTTATAGAAGTAAACAGGTGCATTTTTACTGGAAGACCAATGCATATACATTTGGAGAAAATGTAGCATGCACACAAAAAATCTCCAATAAGGTCAAAGAAGTGGCTCATATGGGATGGGTTTCCATACGCGATGGGTTTCCTTCCAGTGAGTTTCCCACGGATTTTTCTGGGCAGATTCACCCTGAGACACATCACATCTCCTTTTCAGCCAACACCCTGACTGTCATGGTGTTAAGAGCTTGCACATTTGTGCCATTTGGAATAACCGTGCAATGTTGCGCCATCCAGCTTAGACCTGAGAACCTCGCTCCTCGCGCTCAGAATCGTTAGAGCTCCCCCGGCAGCCCATGCTGGGAGGGGACCTGCGCCCTGCTCCTGTCTCCCCCGCCCCGGGGGGAAGCCGCAGCACACCTGCGCCCTGCCAGAGCCTTCTCTCTCGCTCTCCGCTGACTACTGCTGCCGGTGGCTGTTCTGTTCTACTGTTTGGAGAAGAGGTTTGGCCAGGCTCAGGGTTGTGGGGTGCAAAGCCCCAGCAGCACGATGCAGGCATTGGTGAGGGTCCCTTCGTGACGCCCATCACGGCAGGAGCACGTGGGTCTCTGTGGAGATGCAGGTTTTCACCGGTGGGCTCCCTGGGGCATTTAGAGTCAGGGGCCTTGGCGGGGAGGGGACGCTGGCTTCCAGCCTGGGCTGCAGATCCACATCTCCAGAGCTAGGAACTGCCCCCGCCTGGGCTCGGCTGAGATGCACACCATGAGTCCTGGGGTGGTGTCGGCGCTGTGACGGTGACAGCTATGCCGGCGGCCCTGACGAGTGGTGGCCGCTGTGGGGTGCATTCCTGTCTTTGTCGCCCTGTGACTTTTGGGGCTCACCCTTGGGAGGCGGCCCAGATGCTCTAGCCTCACCCCATCCCCATGGCGCCTGATGGTGGCCGTTCGAGCACCTGGGACGGTTGAGGCCACTTTGGATGCTGGTGGTGGGGAACGGCGTGAGGTGTGGCTGGCGCTGCTCCTGCTGCAGCCCCATAGACGCAGGACTGTGGCTGGGTGGGTGGGGCATCTCCCTCCGGCTGCACCTGGCTTCCATGTTCTTTGAGAATGGATCCCCCAGGGCTCTTAACCACAACCTCCACACACGCAGTGCTGGCTGCAGTGCCGTGACACCTCAGCTGCTTGTCTGCTACCACGTGGTTCCCCATGGTGGACGTGGTTCCACACGTGCTGGACATGGTTCCCCCATGGTGGACGTGGCTCCACATGTGCTGGACATGGTTCCCCACAGTGGGCGTGGTTCCCCACGTAGTGGGAGTGGCTCCCATGGTTCCCCCATGGTGGACGTGGTTCCCCCATGATGGGCATGGGTCCCACAGTGGACATGGTTCCCCCATGGTGGACGTGGTTCCCCACAGTGGACGTGGTTCCCCATGCAGTGGCAGTGGCTCCCATGGTTTCTTCACGGTGGATGTGGTTACCATGGCTTTCCACACTGTGCACTGGACCACAACAGCAGAGTCTTTAACAGTGAGAGCTGGCACGAGCCAGGATGCATTAGGTTTTAAATACGTTCCTGGGTTGATTTTGACTCAGGTTTGAGTCAGGAGAAGGCACGATGACGCGCACAGCCGTCGCCCTCAGTGTCCCTTCTCCCCTCTCCTTTGTTCCGTTTCCACATGGACGTCTCCCTGACCTGACCCAGAATCCCAGGGCTTCCTGCTCTCTGAAAACTGGGAGGAAAGCCCAGGATGGCAGAGCCATGAGGGAGACACACAGGGTGACGCCTGGGGGTGAGGAGAGGGGGTGGGGGGCTCAGGACTGAGATCCAGGTGGGCTGAGGGGGAGCCTGGGGTGGGGGGCAGCCAGGTGGCCGCTCTGGGGTGCTGGGGCACAGCCACGTGACTGCTCTGGGGTGCTGAGACAGCCACGTGACTGCTCTGTGGGTCTGTAGCTGCTCACTGGAGCCTTGGCCGTGACTCGAACAGAGTCCAGGTGGCTGGGAAGAGCCTGGGAGAAGGGAGAACAGGCGGGCAGGTGGGCAGTGAAGGAACTGGAGACAGAGCAGGGTCTCAGGAATGGGAGTCCGTGGGGGGAGCCCCACGAGGCCAGGAGGGCCCCTGCGGGGAAGCCCAGCACCCCAGGCAGGGGCTGTGCCACAGCGCCCCCTGCAGGCCTTTTTGCCGGTCGGCCTGCGGGCGTCACCTGGCCCCTCCTTGAGCACACTCCGTTTCCCTCTGGACGGGGCTCCCACGCCCAGCTAGGTGGGCCGGAGGGGCCTGGTGCAGCTGGTCAGGGTCAGTCCTGCCCTAGTGGCCCCGAGGCTGTCCCAGCCTGGGCACAGTGAGTGGGAGTGGCGGGGACGCCTGTGGGCTGGTTGTGGCCCACCGACCACCCTTGGCAGCCCCTGGTCTGTCTCCAACAGGCACCTTACTCAGAGCAGGTGCCCGCACGGCTGGTGGAACCCCTGTGAAGGGGCCACTTCCTGCCCCACAGGAGACCTCCCTCTCTTGGGCATCTGCAGGGATGAGCTGGGGCTCCTGGACGGGTCGGTCCCGGGGCCGGGGCTGAGGCTGAGGTCCTGGAGCCTTCACACGGTCGGTGTGGACACCCAGCAGGCTCTGGAGCAGGTGGCGGCTTGCATCTTGGGCCGCGAGCTTGCTCTGCCAGGCGGTGAGCGGCGTCCCTGAGACGCACGCTCTCCGGGAAGCCCAGCAGTTCACGGTGAGGCCAGGGGTCCGCTGGCGACCGGGGCTCTGGATTGCAAGGCCATCCGAGCAGAGCAGGCACACGTGAAGCTCCATCCCCGCCTGGCAGTGTCCTCGGAGCTCTCTGTAAAGCATCTTCTCCCGTCCCTGGTGACGAAGACGGCTGCGGAGTAAAACGCTGGAGAAGCGGTCGTAGCCGCTGCCTCTGAGTGCACCTGCAGTCCTGACGGGCTCATTCCTGTGGATCTCTGGCATGTGCACGGGCTGTGTGGTCCCTGCCTGCCTTCAGCTGCCGGCGCCGCTGTCTGGGGAACAGCCGTCTCCTACGGAAAGGCGCTCTGGGGAATTCTTTCAAAGACGATCATCCCTCTGTATCCACAGGGAACTGGTGTCTGGTCCTTCCCGGATAGCAACATCTGAAGATGTTCGAGCCATTTACATAGAGGGAAGTGATGTCTGCACGTCCTCCCGTGCACTCAGAGCCGTCTCTACATCGCCTGTACCCCTAACACAGGGCACACGCCGTGTGCCTATCAGTACTGCGTTATTCAGGGAATGTGTATGTGCGGCGCAGACTTTTTCTAAATATTTTCGGTCTGTGGGAGGCTGGCTCTGTGCAGGGGGCCAACGGGAATGAGACTGACACATAACGCTGGGGGTCTCCTTTGGTGCCACGGGGAGTTGCTGTGTGCTCTGCCCTCTCCTGGGGGCCTCCCAGCAAAGCCCTCCAGGATGGGACCCTTAGCTCCTCGAACCCCCTGTTCAGAGGGCGCACGAGACACGTAACAGGGTCAGCTCCTGGAGACACGAGGCTGGGCTGTCATCTCTGTCCCCTGCTTGATTTCAGTGGAAGCCACCACCCTGCTCCCGTGTGGCTTTGCCATGGGCAGCACAGCCCTCGGCCCTGGTGAGTGAGAAGCCACTGCCATGGTGATGTCCAAGGGCAGCTCTGTAGAGTCTGAACCAGAGATGAGCCACGTGGCCATCCAGAGACAGCTCTGCAGCCTGCTCTCTCGGGGGCAGACCGGAGGTCATCTGTGGAACCAACGGCAGGTGACAGGTGACTTCTGTCCCCTCATCTTGGGTGGCCACCGCTACCCAGTCCACGGGATTCCACAGTACTGCGTGTCAGGGCTGGGCTCAGCAGGTCCTGACCCCATGCTCCCCACTGCAGGTGCACGGGAGCCTGCAGAATGGGTAGGGGGTGGGCAGTGGGGGCACCTACCCCTCCCTCAATACCCACGCATCCTGGTGCCCAATTTCCAATCACCCCACGCAGAAATGCACGCACATCGGCCCGGCTCCAACAGAGACCGCCAAGAACAGACACACGGCTGGCGCCTCCACTGGGTTGTCTCTTCTCCGATCCATTCAGGAAAGCAACACAGAACAGCCGGGGGAGGGGCGGGGTGAAAGGTCACTTGGGGAAGGGCCACGTGCGTGTCTTCAGTGTCTACACTGTCCAGAGTCTCTTTGGCTCGGCTGATTCTTGGCCCAGAGGGGCTTGCATGGTAGCCTTGGAGGTCGTCGGAGAAGCTGGTGGGCAGCGAGGGGCCTGAGGCTCTGGCAGGCGGGGGCCACACGGGCGGATGCTTCTTACCGGGCCGCCGGCCACGGAGAGCAGACAGCGAGAGCCAGGGGAGGGAAGCCGGCGTGGGGCCAGGTCGCTGCTCTGCCTGCTCCCTTCAGGGCTGCTGGGCCATCACGGGCTTCTACAAGGCACAGACAGCACACGTGTGAGTGTGCATAGATGAGGCTCAGAGACACACGTGCCCCACACGTGCATACCAGCACAGCACACACAGGCACGCAGCATACACACCGGAGCACGCAGGGAGACCCAGACACACAGGTGTGTGCAGGTGTGTGCACATGTGCACCGACCGTGAGCACGCACACACATGGGCAGGTACATGTGTGGGACCTTTAAGAGGCGGGGCCTAGGTGGTGGGGGCACGGCCCTCGGAAGGGAGGAGGTGGCGCTGGCAGGGCCCCTGTTAGTTAGGTGGAGGTGAGCTGCTGGGGGCCCCTCAAGCCCTGTCTGGCGTTGCACTCTCGCCCACCTGAGGCCGCCGGCACCAGGCCCAGCCCCTCTGGCCTGTGCGCTAAATAAGCCCCTCCTGTTTGCAGAGTGGCCTGCCTCGCAGATTCGGGTATGGGAACGAGACAGGAGTGTTTGGGCCCTGACGGAGGTTGCTGGGCACGGAGTCGTCCTGTCCATCCCAGGACCCGACCGGGGCCCTGTGACCTGAGAGGCCACGGCACCTGTCGGGGAGCACTGGGGAGGCCGCCCAGCAATCACGCAGGGCCCCGTGGCCTTCTCCCTGCCAGAGGCCAGCCACATGTGCCCCGTCCGTGTGGCTGGAAACGGGGCCTCCTGTGTTCACTCCCCAAGGGCCTGCCCCAAGTCAGGAGCCGGAAACTCAGTCCGGGACTCCCAGGTGAGTGGCAGGGACGCAGATACTCAGCCATCACTGCTGCCTCTGTGGGTGCGCAGGTGGGAAGAAGCCGGATCAGCACCCACATGGGATGTGGGAAGAAGCCGGATCAGCGCCCACGTGGGATGTGGGAAGAAGCCGGATCAGCGCCCACGTGGGATGTGGGAAGCCGGATCAGCACCCACGTGGGATGTGGGAAGAAGCCAGATCAGCACCCACGTGGGATGTGGGAAGAAGCCGGATCAGCACCCACGTGGGATGTGGGAAGAAGCCAGATCAGCACCCACGTGGGATGCGGGAAGAAGCCGGATCAGCACTCACGTGGGATGCGGAAGTCCTCACCGCTGTCTGAACTGCTGAGCCCAACGCCCACCCTGGGGCAGCCTCTGAGCCCTGCACCCTCCCAGCCCAGTGGAGGGATGTCCACTGCTCCGGGTCCGGGGAGAGGTCCTCATTGGCCAGAGAGCCTGTCCTTCTTCCTGGAGCCCCACCCACTTCAGGGAGAGCAAGGCCAGGTCCTGACCGCCCTGATTTTGCTGTCGTCCTCAGTGGAGTCTCCCGGAGCCTTTAAGAAATGCTTTGCTTTCTATGAAGGCGACGCGAGCACGTTTTGCTGTAATTCCCAGGTTTCCTTCCGTATTCCTGAAGACCTGACGCCAGTCGTGAACCCCACTGGTTATGGACTTTTAGAGGGGAGCAAGCATTACCGTGAAGATGGCGCTGGCCGCTCCCCTCCTCCTGCTGGGGTTCCTCTGGGTCAGGGAGCCACGGTACGGGGACTTCCGGTCAAGAGAGACCTCATCTTTGCCTGGGAGAGGCAGGGAGAGGAGGGGCGTCAATCAGAAGCCTCCCCCAGGCAGGGGTGTGGCTGAAAGTAGCATTAAAGGGGACCTGGCCCCAGCCGAGGGGACCAGAGGACTACACGTGCAGATGGACATGTGCTTGCCGGCAGCTGGGTGCACGCTCAGCTCAGTCCCACCCTCCCCCGGCTCCCAGCAACCTCAGCAGCTTGTCCCCTCGGCCGCAGGGCTCCCGACGTGGGCAGAACCCAGAGGTCTGGCGTGCACATGGCCTCCCCTTTCCTTTCACTCTGTGACATGGGCTTGGGACTGACTCTCAGGACAGGTGCCTGTCAGCCTCCGTGGGTGGAGCTGGGGCTGGGCCTCAGGTCTGCATAGACACCAGCCGTTCTCATCTTGCCACAGGTGCCACAGGTGCCACAGGTCATGGCTCCCTGGAGCTGACCGTGCACCCCTGTCCTTGACTTGGGTCCAGGGATGCCAGCTGCTGGCCCAAAACCAGGCAGGTGTCAGAAGTGAGCATTCACAGGGCGGGAGCTACCGGACGCCAAGAGCCAAGTCTCTCCCGTCCCCTTCTGCTGTGAGCAGCCCTCTCCATTCTCGGCAGGTGCATCTTACCTAGGTGTCACCCATGTGTCCCTGCCCCTGAACAGCCTCAGGGAAGGGCCTGCCTGGGCCAGGGGACCCTCTGCCAGTGTGGGGCTGGCTCTGGTCGACTGGGGGACAAGCACTGAGGCCTCACCCACCAGGCTGGTGATGGAACGGGAGGGGCCATCCGACCCACTGCCCCTGAACACTGGCCTGAACGTGGGCGGCCTCTCGGCTGGACCAAACGCCCTTCACAAACCTGCCAGCACGAGGCCCACGTTCATGAACCCCCACAGCTCTCGGCCGTGGGGTGTGCTGTAATCGCCCTCGAGGTCAGCACGGGCACCCCAGGAGCCCCCGCTGGGAGCCAGCCCCCACGTGGGCCGTCTCTCTCTCCTGTGGTCCTGAGTCAGGGCCAGCTCTGTCCTGGATCGACCCAAATGTGTGCCGGGAGTTCAGCCAGCGACAGAGAGGCGGCTGGCACAGAGGAGGGGCGGGCAAGGGGACTGCCAAGATGTACTTAGTGCCGTGGGAGCTGGGGAGAAGCCCGGGTGGGCATGGACAGCTGTGCTCTGGAACCCACGTCTGCCGGAGCGTGGGTGTTGTCCCACAAGGCGCACCCAGAGTGTGCACAAGCGGTGCGGGTCCGCCAGCTGTGGCGAGATCCCACTTTCCTTTGCAGGCAGCTGGAAGCCAAGGGGGATGAGGGGCGGCTGCCTGTGAGGCCCACGGCTGTGGTGGAGTCTGACTGGGCTCAGGGGTGGTGCTGAGATCTGGGGGAAGGGGGGCGCCGAGGCGGCACAGCAGTGGAGGGCGGGGGCTGTGGTTGGGTTGCACACAAACGCCCCATGCCGGGCTCATGCCGGGGAGCCTGTGGGCCTCACATCCCACTTGTCCGGGACAAAGCTGCTGTCCCTGTCACCACCAAGACTTCATTCAAGGCTAAAGGACGAGCTGTACCCTCTAAGGACAGGGGCCTGTGCTGCCGCGGGACAACTTAGACTGGAAACCGCAGAGGACACTGTGGCTGCCATCACTGCCACCATCACCACGGCCACCATCACCACGGCCACCACCACGGCCACCATCACCACGGCCACCATCACCACAGCCACCATTACCGTGGCCACCATCACCACGGCCACCATCACCACAGCCACCACCACGGCCACCATCACCACGGCCACCATCACCACCACTGCAGCCGCCATCATTGCCACTGCCGCTACCACTGCCACTAGTAGCGCCCTTTGTGTGTTTATGGCAAAGGCCCATTAATGAGCTGCTCACGCTCACTGCTCTCGGGCCTGGGAGGGTTCTTGGGGGCTGGTGTCACCGTGTCCTTCAGGTGGCAGGGAAAGCCAGCCTTACCGAGTCCCCACCCCCAGGCCTGCATGGGGCCAGGGCGGCAGCTGGGCTCACCTTGACCTCTGGGGGAGTACTTTCTCCGCAGAAGGTAGGGCACGGTCTCGTCCTGGAAGGCAGAACCTGGGGTCACGGCTCAGTCGTGGCACTCATCAGCCCCCCCCCCCACTCCGCTCCCCGGCTATTCCACCGCCCACCGTCCTTGCAGACCCAGAGACCCAGGGCAGCGGTGCCCTGTTCTCCGTCAGCAGCTGAATCAAGTCAGACCTCGGAATGTGAGACGCCCAGCATGGGGGAGTGGGGAGCGGGCGCAGGCTCGCCCACGATGGCGGGTGTGCAGGCATGAATGCCCCAGCTTCCTGGGCCCGAGCAGGAAGACCTGGAGACGTGAGCCCTGCTGGCCCCAGAGCTGCCTGGGGAGCGCATCCCAGTCTGCCTGATGTCAGAGGCTCACTCTCCCCACCCCCAACCCCTCCTGGGCTTTCCCAACACGCGCCCGGACACAGCCCTCGTCCCAGCATGTACATTCCAGCCCCGCCCCTCCCCGGCCTCGCCAGTCTGCAAAGCTCGGGCCCATCTTCCTCTCTTGGTCTGGACCACACCTTGGCTTCACCAGGAGGCTCTGTATCCGGGTCCTCTGGACGCTTGCTGGGGGTCCCGAGAAGCCGGGGCACAAAGATCTGGAGGACAAGGGAGAAGGTTCGTGTCGCGGCAGCCTTGTTCACCAGCCAGCTGCCGGCAGAGTCAGGGCACTGGACGTGGGACACACAGCCCTGCACCTCTTAGACGCCTGCTGGAGAGGGGGCTGGCGCGGCTGCCCCTGCTCTCTGCGCCCACACCCTGCCGGGGCTGCCAGAGCTCCAGTAACTCTGGGTCTCAGGTGCACGGTGATGGTTCGTGCGTGTGTCCCAGCCGCCGCACAGGCTGCACTGGGGCTAGAAGGCACTGCTGATGCTCTGAAAGCCAGGTTGGCCGGGCTTCCTGCATCTGCCGCCAGCCCTCTCCAGGCCCCCTCGGGAGGACCTGTGACTGCCCTGCCACGTTCCCCGCCGTGAGAGCTCTGATGGCTCCTCGCAAGGGTGGGAGAAGGGTGCTGGCCTCAGAGCACTGGGGCGGGGCCCTGGGGGGCCTCCTGTGCATGCGCTGTGGTCACGCCCCTCCCCAGGGCTGAGCTGGGAGCCCTCTGACAAGAGGCTGTCATTCAGGCTGCTGCTTTGGGTTTTTAAACCCTGTGAGTGTGTTGAGTGTGTGTGTGTGTCTGTGAGTGTGTACATGTGTGTGCACATAAGCATGTGTATGTTTGTTCATGCATTCGTGTGTCTCTGCATGTACATGTGTTTTGTGTGAATGCATTGTGTGCCGCTGTGTGTACAAACATGCATACACGCACATGTGTGTATTGCTTGCATGTGTATTCATATGTGCACACACATGCATGTATGTGTGCACATGTGTTCATGTGTACGTGTGTTTTGTGTGTGTAGGTATGTGTATGTGTGTATGGGTGTTTGTGTATGTATGAGTGAAGGTGTTTGTGTATGGCTGTTTGTATGTGTAGGTGTTTGTGTGTGTATATAGCTGTGTATGTGTGTAGCTGTATGTGTGTGTAGCTGTTTGTATGTGTGTGTAGGTGTATGTGTGTATAGCTGTTTGTGTGTATGTGTATCTGTGTAGGTGTGTGTGTGTATAGCTGTGTGTATATGTACCTGTGTGTATGAGTAGCTGTGTGTGTGTGTGTGTGTGTGTGTGTTTGTGTGCGTGGGCAGGGGCTGAGGGCACCTTCTTGGTGAGAAACACAGGCGGGAGAGATCCCAGCGGGGCAGAGCTCAGGAACAGCCCAGCGGGACCAGGCAGGCAGCTGGGGGCGCGAGGCCCCGGCACCCGCCCCACTCACCGGGAGGTTCGATTTCCTCCGGGGCTTTCCCGAGGGCTTCACCGTGAGCCCCGCAGCCCTCAAGGCAGCAATCCTGGACTCGATAGCGGACACCTGGGACGGACGGAAGGATGGACGGACAGACAGAGAGATGGCTGGAGTCAGCTGCCACCCAGACGTCCCACCCGGAGCCCGTGTACTCCACTCATGAGTCTCCCCGGGGGCATGCGCCCACTGCCCTGGCTCCCACGGCCGTCAGCAAGGGGGTGGGTATTCCTGCTGCCCCCACCCACCCCAGGCAGGAGCGGAGGAGTCCTGTGCACTTCTGGAGGCAGATCAGGGCTGGGGGAGGGGCAGCAGCAGCTCAGGGCTTCCCTGACCCAGCACCGCCCCCAATGCCATTGGCAACAACCTTGCCCTGTCTGTCCCCTCACCCTTAGGCCACGCTTTTCATGGTGGCCAGAGGAAGCTTCTGGAAGCAGAAGGCAAGCCTGTCTCTCCCCGTTCAGGTCTTCCTGTGGCCCCACAAATGTTCCTCGGGGGTCTCTGCCATCGGCCCCCTCCAGGACCGGCCTCCCACACTCTCCCCTCATCCCTGTGTTCCAGCCTTGGGTTGCTGCTGCTGATTCCCGGACACCCCAGGGCCTTGGCACACGCCACCCCTGGCCTCTTCTCATAGCTGCCTCTCATCACGTTCCCTCGGCAGCCCCGCCCCCATCTGCCCGCAGCATCATCTTCCCACGGATGCTGGCCATCCACCCTCTCCCACCGAACCCTCAGCTCCACGGCGGCAGGAGCGGGTCTGAGCTGCTCAGGTCTGCCCTCTGGCCCCCGATGCTGGATGCACCCCAGGGATTCACAGAGGATCTGCAAGCCAGGGAAGAGTAACGGAAAGCGAGGAGCTGAGCCGGAGTCGCCCCCGGGATGTGGGCAGCTCTGGGACTCGTGTTCCGAGTCGCCCCCGTGATGTGGGCAGCTCTGGGACCGTGTTCCGAGTCGCCCCCGTGATGTGGGCAGCTCTGGGACCGTGCTCTTCCTCCCTGGGAACTCAGGCTGCTGAGAACGGCCCGAGGCCGGGCAGGGGTCCTGCTGTCCCAGAAGTCACGGGGCGACCCTGGGAAACCAATGCTTTGGCTCTGACCTTTGACCTGTGCACTGCGGGCGCCCCTCACCCAAACTCAGACCCTGCGTCCACAGCGCAGGCCCATGGGGAGGCCCTGGCCAGAGCCTCCGGCTATCCAGGGTCTAAGCCCACTTCTGGCCTCTCTTTACGGGCTGCAAGCAGCCGTTTCAATCCTGAGAACTCTGCCTGCCTCCCACTCAGTGCAGCAGCGTGGAGACGCAGGGGCCTGGGAGGAGGCAGCCATCCTGGACCCCAGACGCTCTGTGCGAGCCCCACAGGCCGACTGTCACAGCCGGTGCACCCCGCACACCCGGTGGCTGGCACCCGTCTTGGTGACACCCGGGACTGGGCTACCTCGCTCTCTGCCTGCTGAACCTCGGAGGCCGCGGCCGCCACCCTGTCCTCCAGCGCCGACAGCTGCTCGTCTGTGCTCCTGCTGGGCTGGGCGGGGCCCCCGGCGCCCTGAGGGCTCTGTCCCCGGCCGGGCGTTGGGCCGGCGTCTGTGCACACCTGGGAAAGAGAGGGACAGCGGCTGACCCCCGGCGTGAGGGGCTGAGCCCCGGACTCGCCTCTGCTCCTCCCCCGGATGCCCCTCGCTGCCCCTCCAGGGCTGGGCTCCCCGTGAGGCCCCTGTCAAAGCCCCAGTGACCCCCGCAGTGGCTGCCTGCTTAGTGGCAGTACCTGTGCTGGGTCCTGCCGGGACCGCGGGGGGAGAGCCCCGGCGTGGTCCCCGCCGGCCGGCTCTCCCTCTTCCTCCTCCTGGTCGCTGACATTGCTGGTCAGCTCCTCCAGCCTTCTCCTGAGGGCCTCCTCCTCCGTGTCTGCCGCTGAGTGCGGCCCGGCAGCTGGGGGCTGAGAGAGCGGGAGAACGGTTGTCCACGGAGCTCCGAGGCCGGCTCCGGAGGGGGCCGCCCAGAGGCCCTGCTGGAGCCCCGGCCTCCGCCCCTTTCTGTGTCCCACGTGTCCCAGGCCTGCAGAAAGCAGCTCTGAGGGGAGGGCTCCTGTGAGATGTTGGCTGCACCCACGGCATCCAAGACCCAAAACCGTTTATATTCTGTTTTGCCTTCCCCTGTTTAAGAGCGTTTTTACTGTGCTAAAATGCATGGATGGGGGCCGGTGCTGTGGCGTAGCAGGTGAAGGCGCTGCCTGCTGTGCCGGCATCCCATTTTGCCAGTTGGAGTCCCGGCTTCTCCACTTCCGCACGCTCCAGCTCTCTGCTATGGCCTGGGAAAGCAGCAGAAGGTGCCCAAGTCCTTGGGCCCCTGCACCTGCATGGGAGACCTAGAAGAAGCTCCTGGCTCCTGGCTCTGGGTTGGCACAGCCTTGCCCATTGCAGCCATTTGGGGAGTGAACCGGTGGTTGGAAGACCTCTCTCTCTCTGTCTCACCCTCTCTCTCCGCAACTCTATCAAATAGGCAAAATTAACCTTAAAAAAAAAAAATGCACCACCTCCAGCAGTATCGAGTGCACAGTTTCGCCCGCCCGCACTCACGGCATGGTGTGGCCTCCCCCCGCCAGCATGAAGCCCTCACCCTGCCTGACCCTCTCCCCTGCCCGGCCCCGCCCTCCTACTCCTCTGCAGACCGGCCCGAGCGCCGGGGTGGGGGGGAAGGGGGTAGAGGAAGGGAGCGACACCTGCAGTGTCTACAGGGGACCCGGGCCAGTCTCCAGTGAGAAGCCTGGGGTTCCGGCAGGCCGTGGGGTTCTGGCAGGCCGGGGGGCTCGTCTGGGGACCCCGTGACCCCTGCTCAGGTGACAGCGCTTCCTGGAGGAGGTGTCCTGGGCGAGAAGGCTCCCTTGAGCCCTCTCTGCTCTTGTCCTGGGCTCCCTGGCGAGTGATGGGCGCTAAGACCCCCTCAGGAGAGTGTGGGCCTCAGTTTTCAGATTTGTAACCTGGGGAGAGCAATGTCTATGTGACAGGCTTGGGGTCAGTCTGATCCTAAGACTCCCAGAGCAGAGGAAGGCGGCCTGCGGTCCCTGCTGGCCCTGGGCACGCGGCTGGCCCTCAGGCCTCCCTTGCCTGCCCCATCAGAGGTCTGAGCCCCGAGCAGGGGTGACCCTCACAGTCCAACCTAGGCCTCCTCCCCACGATGGGCCCCACCAACTCCTGCTCAAGTTCGCCAGACCTGCTTCTCCAGAGCCTGACGCCAAGACAGGTGTGCAGCTACAGACTCGGAGCACTCACAAGGCCTCCCAGGGGCCAGGTGTGCTGCTGTGGCTCTGCCGGAGTGGAGGGCTGAGCCCCAGTCTGCCTGCGCGCTCTCAGACAGACAGACAGACAGGTCCCGTCCTGGCATTAGGCCAGGGTCTGCTTCATTCTCTCCCCGCGAGGCTGTCCTGTTGGGCTGCTGTGGTGTGAACGTGTTCCCCAGAGCTCACGGCTTGGGAGCCTGTCTCCGGACCCAGCAGCGTGCAGACGGGAGGTGCTGACCTTCAAATGGGCGAGGCCGTTTGTGACAAAGCCCCTTGGCCCTCCCTCCCCCTTCATGCATGACCTCCTGCACGTCTGCCTTCGGCCACGGGATATTACAGCAAGAAGACCCTCACCAGCTGCGGCCCCTCAGTCTTGGACGTCCAGTTTCCAGAACCCTGGGCCAACCAAATGGCTGCTCACTACAAACTGCCCAGTCTGTCGGAGTCTGTGAAAGCGGCAGAGTATGGGCTACGACACCTGCCGATGACCGTTCTCGAAGCGGTGCAGACGGACCCCGGGGCGGAAGGACCCAGCAAGCCCCCGGGGCGGAAGGACCCAGTGAGCCCCCTCGGGTCCTCCTGCCCTGTGGAGGCTGTTACACCTGCTCCGAGCTCTCTCACACCCACGCTCAGGGCACTGTGGGAGGGTGGCTGGCATCCGGCCTGGGTGGGTGCAGATGACCTCAGGTGGGCTGTGGGGCCGGGGGGCCGCCCAGCTCTTTGGGCATCCCAACGCAGCCAGGCGTCTCCCGGGAGCCGTGCCGACACCGCAGCATCTTTGACAAAGGGGCTGGGGGAGCGTTCTCCTTGCCGGCCCGGCGGGGTTCCCTCGGCGCAGGGAGAGCTGCCGGTGCTCTCCAGGCGGGTGAGCTGGGTTCCACATCGCACATGCGCAGATCCAGCTCAGATCTGCAGCAGAGGGAGCGAGTCGGCGGCCCAAGGACCCCAGCCCTCCCCCCAGCAGGGCTTGGGGGCGCAGGATCCCCAAGAGCGGAAGGCAGGCTCAGGCTCCTCCTCCCGCACAACCTGGGAAGTTAGCTGTGCGACCCGTTTCTGACCTGGAAGGTTCTAGAACAGCAAGCAAAAGCTGAGAGGGGCCGGGAGAGGAGCAGGGGGAGCGGGAGGGAGGCATGAGTCCAGCGGGGGGATGACAGCTTCAGCCTGCCTGGGACGCTCGCTCTGGAGGGCCACGGTGGTGTCACCCCAGGGCCGCACTGCCCAGCACAGGAAGGCGAGACTTCGTCACGCCACGGGGCTCAGACTGAAGCCACCAGGCAGCAAGAGCCTTGGGCGCTCGCGGGCCAGGCGGCTCTGCAGGTGACCCTACAGCGGATCCACTTCCTCAGCCTTGAGTCACCCGACTCTTGAGTCACCGAAGCCTATTAGCTCCCAGACCGAGGAGCAGGAAAATCGATCCTCCCGGCGTCTGCGGCGTCTCTGCGGCCATTATCTCATTTGCGGCTCGCCTGGTGCTGAGAGGGGGAAGTGACGCCCACGTGGTTCTGCTCTGCATGGGAGGTAATTCGTTTGATCTCCAGAGCACCCGGGGTGTTGAGTGGGAGAAGAGCATAGGCTGGGACATTAGGGTTTCCGCTAGAGTCCAGCCCACACCGCGGCTCTGGCCGCACTGGACACCCACAGCGCAGCGATCAATACCCCGGGAAGGGCCAGGCCGGCCTCTGTTTCTGCCAGCTCCGTGCACCGGGTGAGGGCAGAGCCCCGGCCCCGGGAGAACTGGCAGGACTTCATCCCCGATGGAGACGACAGTGGGCAGACACTGCAGGGGCGGCCGGAGCAGGTCGCGGCTGAAAAGCCCACTCAGGGCACCGGGCGCTGCCCTACAGCCAGGCCCCGGCACTCAGCAAGGAGGCGGGGCCGCGGGGCCAGCGGGGACACAGCAAACACCCAGGGTCCTGGCTGCTGAACAGGGCCGCTGCGCCCCCTGCAGGCGGGCACGGGGCGTCTCCTCCCAGGCGCTCCCGGGACACCTCACTGTGGCTGCGGAAACAGCAGAAGAAGAGTGGAAGCAGAAGCAGGGCTAGGGAGAGCGGGAGGTGACCCAGAAGCTCGATGGCTCTGCTCCTGACCAGGCAGGATGCGGGCCGCCTCCACCCGTTCTTTCTGTACTTCCCACGTGTAGATGGTTGCAATGGCTAAAACTCAGGCGCCAACCTGCAGCAAGGCAAACACCACAGGGGACAGCGCCCCGGCCTCCCAGACCAGGGGAGGGCAGGAACTAGCCCTGCTCCAATTCGCAAACTGATCTCCTGTTGCAAAGACAGCAGGAGGCTGTGTTGGGATAGAACTGACATGGGCGGTCTCCCCGGACACATGATGTGTGACCAAAGCCCTTCCTTGGGGACCATCCCCTCTCATTGCGGGAGCATGGGGTGACCAGGCGTGTCTGCCCAGCACCCTCCTTTGTCTGCAGTCTCGTGGCTGTCGGCACTGGGCACATGACATTCTGGCTTATTGCTTATTCAATAATAAAACAGTTTTCTTTCTCTAGTATCTGCCTTTGTGGAGGGTGTTCCTGGGTCAGGAAATGATTTTAGCTTTTAAAAGAGTTCGATTCCCTCGCCGGCAGCACCCGCCGTGGCTGTGGCTGCGTCACGCAGCCCTGGCATCTGACCTGTGTGGGTTGCAGGGTCTGGAGTCCTGTGCTTTCAACCTACGTGCAGCAAAACCACACCTGGCAGCTCCCAAGTCCAGGGGTTCACGGGGACCACCCTGAGTGGTCCCTGCTGGCGCTTCTATGGGGGACTGAGTGAGCACCTGCAACCTGAGCCTGGCCCTGGTGGCCGTGGTGGCCCTGGTGGCCCCGGTGGCCCTGGGCCGGGCTCCTTTCTCCTACCTCTTCCGCCTCAGCCCTTCCCACCACCTGCTTGGCTTTCTCTGGGCGTGAGCGGCTCTCTCTGGAAAGTCTTTCCTGATGGTCCCTCTTCTGGAAGGTTCTACCCATGAACACCCACGCAAAGGCCAGCCGAGAGGGGCTGGGACTGCCCAGGTTATTTGTGATGAGCCGTGGGCATGGGCACGTCCGTGAGCCTGGGCTTGGAGTCTGTGCTGGGGGTGGGCAGGTTGAGAGGCTGGAACTCGGGGTCCAGCCCCGGCCTCCCGGTGAAGACCCCTGCGAGTCTGCCTGGGTTGTCACTGAAGTGCAGGACGCCACTGGGCCTGTGCACGCTGACTGCGGTCCAGCACCCACGGCTGCCTGGTACCATTGGCGTGGGACGGTGGCCGCAAACACAAGGAGACGGCCCACAGACAGGAAGCGCAGAGGCGATGCCAAGGGGCAGCGAGGATGCTGGGACAGCAATGGCGGCTGTGACAGCTTTTCACTGAGCCACTGGAGGTGCCCCATTATGGGCCTGATGCACACAGACGCCGGGATTCTAAACCGCTTCTTTGTAAGAGGCGAGAGACTCGAGCCAGATCCGCAGCCAGAGAGAGCGAGAGAGCAAGCGCCCATCGCTCGTCCTCTTCCCAAATGCCCACAGTGGCTGGGCTGGGCCAGGCCAAAGCTGGGAACTCAGCCCAGGTCTCCTGTGTGGGAGAATCCAGCCACTGCCTCCATGAACAGGAAGCTGGAGCCAGGAACTGAACCCAGGTACTCCGATATGGGGTGCAGGCATCCTAGCCAGCATCTCACCCCTGGGCCAAGTGCCGACCCCTGGATTCCAATCTTTACCCCACTGCTGTCAGATGCGGGACCCGGGAGATTCTCAGCTAGCTGGGGGCGCCTCCGCCCTGCCACACCGGCCCCTTGGTGGGCTTGGTTTCCTCTCCCTCTCCTGTAGCTCCCACAACGACTGTAGAATGTGCCCTAAAGGCACTGCCCGGGCCTCGATCCTGCGCTTCCTCGAACAGGAGGTTGGCAGTGCATCAGGCTGGTGACCCCCGTGCCCTGCGGCCGGCCGCTCAGCTCCCCGGGACACTGGGCCCATGCAGACAAGAATCTGTCGCCCTGGGCCACTCTCCTGAGCGACAGCCCGGCTCGCCCTGGCCAACGATGCCAGGATTCTGGGGTCCCTGCTGGAGAAGCGAGGGCCCTGGGGAGTAGCCCTTAGGGGGCGCTGGCCTCCTCGCCTGCCTGCTGGCCATGTCCTCCTACCTGCACCCTGTCTCCCCGGGTCTGTGTCCAGACTTTTCCTGAATGTCACAACCTCTGGTTACTCTTCCCACCTGATAGCCAGGGCCTGGCCTGGGGGCCCCCGAGGGAGGCCCCACAGACGCACCCCCGCCCCTCCTCTCCTTTCCCAGGGGGAGCTCTGCCTTGAGGTTTCTCGGTTACACACATTCGGGTGTTTCCTGCAGCAAAAGGCACTCGCTCAAATGGAACCAGGGTCACGGCTGGGAGGCAGGGGGGCACTTGTGGCACTGAAGGGAATCTTGTGATGAATTATTTCCCACACCAGTGTCTGCAATGTGACAGACTCTCGTGGATTCCACACGTGCTGAGGGTTCTACGTTGAATTTCCTTAGAGCCTCCGTTAAGCCTGCTTCAAGTCACAGGTCACTTCCTTTTGTCGTAGAAGACACAACCGTGGAAAGAGTATGAAGCATGTGTTTTCGTGAAAAGGGAAGAAGTGCGGGGCGCGCTGCGGGGACCAGCCTCGCAACACTGCCCCGTGAAAGAAGCCAGGCGAAGGCTGTGGTTCTGTTCCAGAGACGGCTGTCGGGGAGGGGCTGGGGTGCACCTGCTGGGTGGGCACGGGGCTCTCCTATGGACGCTGCAGATGCCTTGGCGCCGGAGGTGGCGTAGCCAGGCCCTGGGAACACTCCAAGCATCACTGAATTGTGCGCTCCAAAACAGTTATTTTTTAAAACATGAAGGCTATTATATCCGGAATTCTGTAACACTTGCATTACGTTTTGTCTTTGTCCACATTGTTTTGTTGTAAAATGGACAACATAAAACGGCTGTTTCAACCACTGCCCGGTGGTGTCAAGTGTGTCCGTATCCCTGTGCAGCTGCCGGCCGTCTCCCAAACTCATCTCCCAGAACGGAAACTCCCTGGACGCTAATTCCTCACGTCCCCTCCCAGGGCCTGGCTCCCCCATTCTGCCGTCTCCGTGGATTTGACTCTTAGAGGAATCACAGTGTTCGTCTTGTCTCTGCCTTACTCCCCAGCTCAGGGCCCTCGGGGTTCATCCACGCTGTAGCGTGGGTGCCAGGCCCTTCCTTTTCAAGGCTGAGCAGTATTCCCGCGTGCAGATGCTGCACCCATCTGTGGGGTGCCCTTGTGTTGCAGGCTGCTGTGAGCGTGGGTGCACCAACCTCTCTAGGTTCCCACTTCCTGTTGGGGTAGAGACGCGGTGTGCACCTGCTGGATTGCATGGTAACTATTTTCGGTTCTTTGCAGAGCCACCACACTAAGGTGGTTCATTTTATGTTACAATGATTCACTTTGGTTAAAAGAGACATATTTGGATGACGTGGTCTCTGTACACTACGCAGCAGCAATTTGAGAGCTGAAAATCCCACCAGCTTTGACTTCTCTGTGGTGACTTGGGAGGGGGTGAAGGGGCTCCCCCGGGGGGGAGCAGAGAGGGCGCCAAGGTTACCTGACTGTCAGACGAGGTCCAGCTCCAGCGTCTGGGGTGGGGGCCAGCCGCCGAGGCTACCCCAGTGCCTCCTTCGTCAGAGGTGTCCACGTCGGCCTGGCACTGCGGGGGGAGCTGCCCACTGCTGCCAGAGGCCGTCCCTTTGGAGAAAGAGTGGGTCTGGGTGACTTGGGGACATGAGAACCACGGCTCATGTGCTGTCTGGCGAAGAGGAAGGGGGGCCCGGGAGAGTGGAGGGGGACGTGGGTCCACTGGCGTCACAGTGAGAGGGGGCGGGGAACCCGGGCTCTGTCTTAGGGAATAAAGTGTCGCAGATTCCAGAAGCTAAAACAGAGCCCGATAAGATCTTCAGGAGAGGCGCGTTCCCCCAGTCCCAATCTGTGCTCAGGGCAGGGCCGGGGAGCCAACACTGGGCAAAGCAGACGCCACGCGGTCCCTAAGAACTCCCGACTCCACGTGTGCGGAGAGCGGGCAGCCGGGGGCATTTCTGCACGACTGTGCGGTCTGTCCACTGTGGGCACAGGTCACTGAGGCCCTTGTTCCCAGGACACAGCACCGTCACCGCCTCCTCACCAAAAATGACCCCCACCCTCCCTGCAGCTGGCCCAGAAGGCACCACACAGGCCATGGGCGGAGGTGGGGGAGGAGCGTCCTGCAGGCACCTGCCCCAGGCCACACCTGCGCAGTGACTTCTACCGACAACCTGGACGGAGAAGCTCGGATCGGCACGGCAGCCCCGGCCACACTCTGGATTAGCCCTGGAGGCCCTGTGAAGCCGGTTAAGTTGTGGCGCTTTGTCTTGTAGCTACAGACAACCACGGGGTGGATTAGGTGTTATCAACCTGTTCCACATTGAGGAAACTGAGGCCAGACGGGGGCGGGGCCTGAGCACCAGCATTCCACACTGTAGTCTGTCTCAGACCGAAGCCTGGACGCTGGGCCCCGAGGGAGACGACGCTGACCGTGAGTCGGCACTAGGCAGGGTGAGATTGGCGACATGGGCTGGCTGGGGGTAGGGGCCCTGCCTCTCCTGCCCGTGTGCTGGGGCTACTTGAGATCACTGGACAGGGGCAGTGTGCCCGTGTCTTACCCTAAGGCGGGGCAAGCGGTAGTAATTTTCTGATGGTGTGCGGGAAAGTGAAGCCCCCAGGACCCTGGCCAGCGTGAGGATTGCGGTCAGGAGGCTTTGGTCCCTACCGGGCCATGAGAGATGGGGATGGAGGCAGGACGCCTCCTCAGCCTGGTTTCCCGCGGGTGCTGCTTCTGTGACCCCAACCGGACAGTCGGTGGGGGGCCCGTGGTCCTGGCCACTTTGGGGACAGCTGCGTGCCTCTGCCCAGCCATGTGGCCGCTCAGCTCCTGTGTGGGCGTCATGGTGGAAGCTCCGGGTGTCGGCAGCACTGCCCATACCGCACCATCAGGACACATTATGAAAGCGGCTTTTAAAAATCAGCCAAATGAGGGTGGTGGGTGGGTTTCTCAGCAGTCCCCCCCCGGCCCCGCAAGGCCCCTCTGGAAGACCGTGGCCAAGGGCACCCACCTGGAGCGGCGGCAAGCCCCAGGCCCGTGCTGCTGGTGGTTCCGGGCTGGCAGGGCTCCTCGGGGGCCTCCCGTCTGGAGGGCGAGAGGCCGCCCAGAGGTTCTGCAGGGGGCTGGCACTCGGAGGCCCCTGGGTCAGCTTCCTCCAGGACGGCCGTCTCCTGGGAGGTGGTCTCCCAGGTGTGGGGCTCACCTGTGAGGGACTGAGCACCCGGTGTCAGCTCTGGGGGTGCATCTGCCGCCACCCAGGGGAGCAGCCCCCACACACCCATCCCCTCAGGCTCTTGCACTCGGTTCTCCTCCACTTGAACGCCACGCCCGCAGCATTCCTTGTGTACAACTGGGGCTCCCAGTGACAGGCGGGCCAGGGGCACCCCGGGGAGCAGACCCTCTGCAGCAGCCTCACTCGGGGAACAAGGCCTGGGAACTTCCTACCCATGTATTGACCTGGGCTGGGGGAGGCACTGTCCCTACCAAGGCCTGGGAACTTCCTGCCCATGTATTGACCTGGGCTGGGGGAAGCACTGTCCCTACCAAGGCCTGGGAACTTCCTGCCCATGTATTGACCTGGGCTGGGGGAAGCACTGTCCCTACCATGCACACCGCTATCGCCTGCGGGGTCAGCGGTGTGAGAGTGGGTGGGGGCAGGGATCCCCGAAGCCCCTTGGCTGCCACCCCCCACCTCTGGGGAGAGAGATCCTGTGCCATGGTCCCCAAGCAGACAGGGCTCCGAGGCTTCCATGGGCTGCGGGGGTGATGGTGGTGGTGGTGGTGGTGGTGGTGGGGTGTGTGTGTGTGAGTCGGGGGGTGAGGGGGTGAGGGGGGATGCCATTGGTGAGGGAGCCCAGCCCTGAGGCTGCAGCAGGCAGGGTTTCGTCACTGGAAGCCCAGCCCCGCAGCTGACAAGTACCCCGGAGACTGCGGAAAAGGCAGACTCCAGACGGACCTGGGGCCCGGTGTGCCCTCCTCTGCTGGCTCTGGGGGCCTCTGCCCTCGTGTCCCTTCCTCCCCGGGGTCTTCAGGCCAGCCTGGGCAGCACGGCCCGAGCTCAGGGGACACTGGGGCCCACTGGGAGATGGGACGCTGGTCCTGGTTCTTGGTGCCCCGTAGCTGCCTTTAGTGCCCAGGGTCTCCTGTGTGCCAGGCCCAGCCGCACAGCAGAGACTGGCACCCCTTCTCCAGCACAGGCCCCAGGCACCTGGGCCACACGGGGACCACAAGTCCCGGTGGCCCTGGCGGCCCCCGTGTGTGCCATGTGCCGGGGTCGTCACGCACAGCAGCCTGTCTCTCAGCACTGGCCCAGATGGGCAGCGAAGACTCAGCCCTGGCCAGTGAGGCGGAGGTGCAGGCACCAGGCCAGGCACCCTGCCTGACTCCACAGGGTGCTCTTCTCTCTTACAGGGGGCTCTGCACCGACCCCTAAACCCCTGGTCCCTAACTCCCACTTGCCCCCCGCCCCCAGCTGTCTGCTTAGTGCCAGGCTTCACTGGCAGGAGGGTGTGAGGGCTCTGCATCCGGTGCCCCTACTTCCTGCCACCATCACCCCGCGCTGTCCCTGTCCTGAGAGCCGGAGATGACCACGTGCCATCCAGCACCACTCTGCACCCTGGTCTGAACGCCACTGCTGCTCGGGTTCCCGGGTGAGCGGGGCACAGACACGGGAGCCCACTGACCTGCAGGCTGCCCGTGGCCTCAGCCTCCGAGGACAAGTCCAGGAGCTGACCACAGGACCGCGTGGAGTGATCCGAGTCCGCCTCCAAGTCCAGGTCGTGGATGGAGAGGAGCCGCTTTTTCTTCACAGGTGCACGATGCGCAAGACTCAGGTCAAGGCCAGCTCGAAGGACAGGACCAGACCCCCCTCCGCTCCCACCCCCGGGGCAGCGGGCAGGCCCCTCTGTGGGCAAATCCACTCTTGTCTGAGACACAGCAGAGGTGGCACTGAGGGAGGCCCTGGGTGCCCATGCTCCCACCATGAGATCTTGGTCCCCAGAACCTTGGGGGGGTCCCCGAAGAGGGGGCACCAGGTGCCCTGGGGTGGGAGGTGCTTCCTGGGGCAGGTGGCTGCTCCAGTGGGCGGGGCCTCTCACCTCCCAAGGGGAGGCGTCTCTGGGCCTTAGGTAGCCAGGGGCTCGCTGGCTCCAAGGTCGGGGTGGGCAGGCCCTGGGGGCTCCACACTGCCTGCAGGAGCATCTGCTCACTTCTAAGCCCCTGCTGCTCTGATCACTGCCACCAGCTGACACTCCAGGTGCTGGGGCGTGTTCCGCGAGCTCAGGAACTGGCCTGAACCACACGCAAGAAACCGAGACCATGTTCCCCAGAGGACAACGGCACACCCTTCCCCCTCCCTTCCTGCCAGCTCCCACCCAGAGGCCTGGGGGTCACCTGGATGTCTCCACCCCCACGAGTAAGTGGGGAGAATGAGTGAACCCAGGAACAAGCCCCCGTCAAGACAAGGCTGCCAAGGCAGCCTGCAGTGGGACCCCCACATCCCCGGGACCCCATGCTCCTGACAGCTGTGGTTCCCAGGCCCTGGCTGGATGGGCCAGGCTTCTCCCGGTTGAGGTCTCCAATGGTGGTAGCTCTGTTCTGTCTGGGGCTGACTGTGTCAGACATGGTGGAGCCGTGGGAAGGGAGGCGGGTCCCCTGATGGGTAGGAGCTAGTGCAGCCCCCCGGACACTGAGCCATCAGGAAGTCAGAGCCTGGCAGTGGGGCTGGGGCAGGGGTGGGGAGGCTGGGGCAGGACTCACTTTGGTGCCGAGAGGTGGGGCCTGGGCCCCCGCGTCTGGCTCTCCATGCTCATCTGCCAGGTCGCTGTCTCCACTTCTCTCCTCAAGGCCTGGCTCAGGCCCACCTGCGAGAGACACTTGCATGGCTTCACCAGGCCAGCCTGACAGCGGAGTGTCCATCTGCCCACTCACGCAGCCACCGGCCACCTTCTACCTGCCTCCACCCCGCCTTCCACCCCGCCTTCTAACTACCCATGCACTCAAGTACCCATCCATCCATCTATCCAGCCAGCCACCTACCTATCCACTCATCCACCTACCCATCCACCCATCATCCACCCATCCATCCGTCCATCCACCCACCCACCCATCCATCATCTGTCCATCCACCCATCCATCCATCCATCCATCATCCATCCAGCCAGCCACCTACCTATCCACTCATCCACCCACCCATCCATCCATCATCCATCCATCCATCCATCCACTCATCCATGCACCCATCCATCTATCCATCCATCCACCCACCAAGAAACAAGGGCAGGCCCTCTGTTGTCCGTTTAGAGACCTAGCTAAACATCAGTTGCAGCTCTTCTTCCTTCTTCCTTCCTTATTTATTTGAAAGCCAGAGTTAGAGAGAGAGCATGGGAGGGAGAGGGAGAGGGAGAGGGAGAGGGAGAGGGAGAGAGAGAGAGGTCTTCCATCTCCTGGTTCACTCCTAAGATGGCGGCCAACAGCTGGGGCTGAGCTAGGCTGAAGCAGGAGCCAGGAGCTTCTTCCAGGTCTCCCACATGGGTGCAGGGGCCCAAGCAGTTGGGCTATCCTCTGATGCTTCCGCAGGAGAATTTGCAGGGAGCTGGATTGGAAGCGGATCAGCTGGGACATGAACCAGCGCCCACGTGGGATGCCGATGTTGCAGGTGGCAGCTTAAGCAGCTGGGCCACCGTGGGTCCCACAGGGATCTTAATTGCAGCAGAAACCTGGTGGTCTGCACTGATCTACCTACAGGGCCTGGCCACGTCTGTAGCCACCCACCCGCTATGCACTGTGCTAGGGCTTCTCCACGAGTCTGGGTGTCCCCTAGAGGCCCCCCAGTTAAAGGCTTGGTCCCCAGAGAGTGTGACAGGGAGAGGGTGGAGCCTGTAGGAGGTGGGCCCAGTGCGAGGTCCTTGGGTCACTGGAGGCTGCTCTCAAAAGACGGCTAGTGTTCAAGCCCGAGGTTGCACCAGTCTCTGCTCCCTGGCTTGGCACGTGGTCCTGCCTCTGCACACAGCCCACCCTCTGCACATGGCTCTCCCTCTGCACACGGCCCCCCATTGCCCTCCGCCACTCTCCCCAGACACCAAGCCAATAGGGCTGCCTGATTTTGAGCTTTGAACCTCCAGCACTGTGAAACCCGTCCTCTCTACGAGGCTGGGTGGCCGCAGGCCTCCCCACGTAGCAAGGGGCAGCTACCCTGTGCCTCCTGCCTCCTGCTGGGTCATCTGAAGACATGGGATCGGTGGTGCAAAATGCCCAGAGCTGGTCGTGTTTCCCCAAACAAACCGCTTCACCCACAGCTCTGGCCTCCGCACAGTTCGGGGTGGAGGCCAGGCCTGGGTCCCCCTCCTCTCTGTTCCCGGGCCCTTGCTCACCCTGAGCCCGCAGGCCTGGCCGCCCCAGCACAGCCCCCATGTCCTCCTCTTTCCTGCATCCACGCTGGCCTGGCCGGTGCTCCGCTTCCCCAGGATTTGGAGGGCAGGGCCTCCCCTGGGACGGAGACGCACGTGGGCTCCCCCTCTGCGCAGCGGCCAGCTCTGTGCCTACGATTGCTGGCTTAGTTGCGTAGTTTTACACCAGTTTCCCGTTCCCAACCCCCCTGGGCCTCACAACTGTCTGGTCTCAGGCTGGCTCCTAACTCGGAAGCCGACTTTTACGTGGGGATGGAAAGTCAGCCCCACTGTCCGTTTCCTGCTCATTAGATGGAGACAGAAACACCCAAGCAGGGGACGGCGCCGTGGCCTGTGGGTAGAGCTGCCACCTGTGACACTGGCATCCCTCATGGATGCAGGTTCCAGTCCCGGCTGCTCCACTTCCATCCAGCTCCCTGCTAAAATGCCTGGAAGAGCAGCAGATGACAGCCAAGCACTTGGGCCCCTGCACCCACGTGGGGGACCCGGAAGAGACTCCTGGCTCCGGGCTTCAGCCTGGCCCAGCCCTGGCTGTTGCTGCCATCTGGGGAGTGAACCAGCAGATGGAAGGCCTCTCTCTCTCTCTCTCTCTCAGCCTCTGCCTCTCTGTAACTATGCCTTTCAAATAAATAAGTAAATCTTTAGAAAAAAAGACAGGAGGAAGGGAGGGAGGGAGGGAGACAGAACCAAGCAGCTGAGAAAGGACGCGGGCAGCAGTGGTCAGAGAGGTTTGCAGACAGAAACTCGCCTCCCTCATTGTCCAAAGCTGATTTCCTTTGCCTCTTTAGGACATCTGGGGAGGTATCAGGGCGGGGCGCAGAGGGGAGCCGTCACTCATCCTGCCTCAGTGGGCCTCCTGGGCGCAGGCCTGGAGGCCCTCAGTTTGACCGGCAGGAGAGAGGCGAGGAGGCCTGGCTTATCCGCTACAAATGCCAGGGGTTTTCAAGGGGCTCCTAGGGGCCGCCTGGGTCTGAGCCCCAGGCGTCCGTGTTAATGAGCTCGGCCATGGCCAGCCCAGTTGGGAGGCAGGGACATGAACTTGACCAGCATGCGGCCTGGGGCTGGCAGGCAGGGGGGTGTCCCCTACCCTCCCCCCGTGAACGGGAAGAGTGACGCTCCTTTGCCTCTCCTCCCTGGAGACCAGGGTGGGAGTATCCCCCCCGCCCCCGCCTCCTGGTCAAGTCACACTAGAAACAAACCCCAGCGCAGAGCAGGCGGCACCTCCCGAGGGAGAGGGGCTCAGCCCGCCCCTGCCCCCCCCACTGAGGCCTGGGGGAAACGCCCCTCACTGGAGGCTCACTCTCGGAAGACCCCCGTGGCCACCCCTGAGATGCACAGACCCTGGCTGGGCAGGTTTCAGACTGTACTCTTAAACAACTCCGGCGTTCCCAGGTTTCGTGCTGTCCTTGTCCCCTGTCTGGCTGTGCTGTTGCCCGGTGACGGGCAGGGGAGCCTGCACCTGGGGCGGGCCTGGTTGGAGGGGGGGGGGGGGGCATCACTCCCAGCAGGTGGGGACTGACTCTCATTCTCCTTGGCTGTGTTCTGCTGCCCCACAGCGCCACCTCCTGGCCTCTGAGGGAATAATTTCCAAACAGGGTCTCTGCAGGTGCCGCTCAGGGCCCAGGCTGGGCTTCAGGGACCCAGCATCCTCTTAAATGACAGCTTTCTCACCCACCCCAGCCTCTGGAAGCGGGCTCCTCTCAGAGCGACGCCCCAAACCCTTGGGGGTTCTGACACGCTTGTTGGGAGGGGCTGCCTTTGGGGCTGATATTCCCAGGTGGGTTGCTGTAGCGTTTCCCACGTTGGTCCATCCTAAGGCCCTGCGGCTGGGGCTGGACCAGACTCCTTTGCTGCGGGAGGACCCCACAGCTGGCTCCAGACTGGACACATGGGTGTGGGGACATGGATTTGCTGATGGGCTCCAGCCTGAAACAGAGATGCCAGCCGCCAAAGGGGCAGCCCCCCGGACAGGACAGCCCCTGCCAGCGGCATCAGAGCTCTCCCGGCCACATCTGCTGTTGGGTGGGGTTATCAGCAGGGCCTCCTTTACTCCTACAAACGTCCTGGCTTGGATGACTTCACCGCCTGCCCCCACCCCTACCCATGAAGCTGAGTCACCCCTCGGTCTGCCACTGCAGGTGCTAGAAGTCGATACAGGTGAGGGTGACTCAGTGGTCTCAGCCCTCAAGCAAACACCGTGCCCTACTCCGGAAACCCTGTGTAGGCCCAGAGCTGCTCGGTGTCCTGTGGGCTGGCCATGTCCAGCTTCTGCTCCTTCTTGTAAACCTGGGGCTTTACACAACAGGTGGGTTGGCGCTGCGGTGTGGCGGGTGGAGCTGCCGCCTGCAGTGCCGGCATCCCATATGGGCGCTGGCTCAAGTCCCGGCTGCTCCAGCTCTCTACTTATGGCCTGCAAAAGCAATGAGAGAGGGCCCAAGTGCTTGAGCCCCTGCATCCATGTGGGAGAACCTGGAGGAAGCTCCTGGCTCCTGGCTTCAGACTGGCCGAGCTCTGGCCGTTGCAGTCATTTGTGGTGGGTGGGGTCAACCAGCAGATGGAAGATCTCTCTGTCTCTCTCTCTCTGTCTCTGTCTCTGTCTCTCTCTCTCTAGCTCTGCCTTTCAAATAAATAAATCTTAAAAAACCAAGGATTATTCACAGCAGATTCCTCCAATTCTCAGTAATCGTCAGAATCACGTGGGATTTGTTGATGTGTCTGGGCCCCCAGCCAGACGTCCAGGGAAGCAGGTGCGCGCGTATGACGGACGGCGCCCCGGGGACTCTGCGAGCAGCTGTGTTTGAGAAACTTGGCCCTGACTTCTCAAGCTGCTGTGAAACTCTGGGAAAAACACCATTTCAAACCCTGGGGACGCCATGGGCACGGACCAGGCCGGCAGAGGCCAGGGGTCCGCCCCTCACACGCAGAGACAGGCATGCACTCACACCACCACACCCCCCTAGAGGAGCCCGCAGGGTCCTGGACGTCCGAACGCACGGGGACACGGGGCTCCCCTCACCTCCCTGCTGCAGCCGCCCGTACAGGGACCGGATCACCTTGGCGCTGCCGAATCGCTTGAAGCGGGCCCGCACGTGTTCGTAGTACCACTCGAGAGAGCCCATCTTCACCACTCTGCAGAGACAAGAGCGCAGGCCCGTGGCAGCTCCCCGGGGGCCGCTCACGGGCCTGAGCAGAGACACGGGTGCGGCCGCCGGCCCCAGCGCACCTGGCCAGGTGGCAGGGGTCACAGAGCCAGCCCTGCTCCTCGGGGTGGGCGCGGCTGCAGCTCCTGCAGGCGAAGAGGCCGCAGTGCAGGCACTGCCTTCTGCTGTTGACCAGGAGCTGGTAGGGCCGCAGGCAGCGGGCGCAGTGCGTCTCGTTCAGGTGCGCCGTGTCGGCGAGCAGCTCCCTCTTGGAGCTCTCCCTCTGAATCTGGCCCTTCAAGCCCCTGGGGAAGGGGGGAAAGGGAACACACGGCCAGCTTGGCTCCACCAGGCTTGGACGTGCACACGCTCACACGTGCCTGCACATGCCTGCTCACTGACACACACAGGCACACACGCGCCTGTGCACGCCTGCTCACTGACACACACGGGCACACACATGCCTGCACACGCCTGCTCACTGACACACACGGGCACACACGCGCCTGCACACGCCTGCTCACTGACACACACGGGCACACACATGCCTGCACACGCCTGCTCACTGACACACACGGGCACACACGCGCCTGCGCACGCCTGCTCACTGACACACACGGGCACACACGCGCCTGCGCACGCCTGCTCACTGACACACACGGGCACACACGTGCCTGCACACGCCTGCTCACTGACACACACATGCCTGCGCACGCCTGCTCACTGACACACACGGGCACACACATGCCCGCTCACACCTGCTCACTGACACACACAGGCACACACATGCCTGCGCACACCTCACTAACACACACAGGCACACACGTGCCCGCTCACACCTGCTCACTGACACACACAGGCACACACGCACCTGCACACGCCTGCTCACTGACACACACGGGCACACATGCGCCTGCTCACACCTGCTCACTGACACACATGGGCACACACGCGCCTGCTCACACCTGCTCACTGACACACACGGGCACACACGCGCCTGCACACGCCTGCTCACTGACACACACGGGCACACACGCGCCTGCTCACACCTGCTCACTGACACACATGGGCACACACGCGCCTGCACACGCCTGCTCACTGACACACACGGGCACACACGCGCCTGCTCACACCTGCTCACTGACACACATGGGCACACATGCCTGCGCACGCCTGCTCACTGACACACACAGGCACACACGCGCCTGCGCACGCCTGCTCACTGACACACACGGGCACACACGCGCCTGCACACGCCTGCTCACTGACACACACGGGCACACATGCGCCCCCTCACACCTGCTTACTGACACACATAGGCACACATGCGCCCGCTCACACCTGCTCACTGACACACACAGGCACACACGCGCCCACTCACACCTGCTCACTGACACACACGGGCACACACGGGACCTGCTGCAGGCGGCTGGGCAAAGGCTTCCCCAGGCACCCTTGCCGCCTGCAGCGCCAGCCGCCCTTCCTCCCCTGTCCCTGGGGGCGGCCAGCAGCTGTGTCCACACAGGGGCACTTTTCATACGTTGGAACTGAAGCCTGTTATTTTCATAGGAATGGCACTGCGTCGAAGCATGTCTGGGGCTTTTACAACTGTCCCGGGGTCTGGATGACAGGCCACTGCCCTCCCCCCACAATCAAGGTGGTCCCAGAGCCTGAGCTAGAAGCCCTCCCCCGGGGACGGGCGGTCTCCCAGCAGGGGCCAGAGCTGAGCTGGCTCCCTGGGTCTGTGTGGGCCGAGAGTGGCTTGGCTTGGAGAGGGCCCAGGGCAGGTTTTAAGCAGCACGGCTTCCTGGTGAAGCCGCCAGGTGCAGCTGACGGGCGAGGTGACCCCAGGCCAGCGTGGACGCGCCCCTCTGTTCTGGGCTTCCGGGAATGTCTGCCCAGTGTCATATTTTTAGTTCCAGATGAGATTAGATGGAACCGTGGCTAGTGACGAAATCAGAGAGACACCAGGGGGAAGCCTGGCGGTTTGGGGTTCCCGACAGGACACCCCGAGCTGCAGGCCCGCGAGGCACGGGCAGCTCCGCCAGGCGGGAGGCGGCAGCGGCAGACTTGCACAGCTCTCCCTCCCCCGCTGCCTGCCACGTTGTCTTGGAGATGTCTCCGGGTCAGACGTCGTCACGGCTTCGTAAGCCAAGGAAGAAGACAGCCCAGCTAGCGTGGGCGTCTAAGGGGACACTGACGTAGCCGCGTCCCCAGCACAAGCGCTCGGCCTCAAGCTGGGGCGCAGAGCTCCCGAGCCAGGCGGGGAGGCCCAGGCTGCTCTGTCGCCGCTTCTGCACCACCTGCGACCCGGGGGCGGCCTCCCTCCCAGCCGTCTCTCCCCAGGCAGGTCCCGGCCTGAGGCTCAGCACAGCAGGAAGGAAGTGGAGGACACGTGGAGGCTGTGGCTTCCAGCCACACGAGAGCCTGGGGCAGGCCTGGAGTTCTGGGTCCTGGGTTTTGGGGAAGGGGTGGTTATGGTCTGCTTCAGATTCCGTTTGCACACACGCCCACAGGAAGCGAGGGCAGAGGAGACGCTGTGAGAGGTTAGGAGGCACCTGCCGGCCTCCGGGAGCACCAGCCCGGTTTCAGGCTGGGAGAGCGCGGGTGGGGCCGGGGCAGCCTGCACGCGCTGCCTGTAGCAAACACTGGGTTGACCAGATGTCTCTGTACTGCAGGTGCACCAGCAGGCAAGAGCCCAGCACTGTTACAAGTTAGAGTCACCTTTAAGAATGACAGACCCCGAACGTGATCCATCAGAAACGGCAGAGCAGTTGAGACAATTGGGCTGGTGTGTTAAGGGGGTGAGAAGGCAGACTCTCAGGAGAGGGGAGTGGGGGGTGCAGGAGGAGACGAGGCTGAGACAGAGACGGCCCAGAATTACAACAAGCCGACAGCAGACCCTCTGCAGGGGACGCTGAACCCGCCGATGTGGAGCAGGGGCTCTGGGTGTGCCCGGGGGCTCTGCAGCTCCCTAAGATCCTGTAAGCGAGTTCACCAGGTCAGAGGTCAGAGGTCGTGTCAGACAATACTAAGACACCCTCTCCCGGTACCTTTGCCCTTTGATGCCTGACAATGGTGCAGAAGCGAGGTGGGCCAGGCTGCAGAGGCGCTAGCCGGAGCCCAGGCCGTGGAACCAAACCCTTAGCAGGCTTCATACGAGAGAAGCAACGCCGCTCCAGGTACGCGCCCCGGGGGGAACACGGAAAGCTGTCCTTTGTTTGGGCCTTGACCCCTGAGGGCACGCTCTCTGAGCTGGAGAGCTGTCTGGAGTGTGACCCAGGCTGGGGACGGTCCTCCAGGGATGCCCTGGCCACCTGACTCCGCCCCTGAGGTGAGCTGCTCTGGGGGGTGGGTGGGGGTGCAGGGAGTTTCTTAGAAATGAACTGAGTGAGCCCCTCCCGGCAAGGAAGGGAAGTGACGCGATCCATCGCCAGTGCCGAGCCGAGGCTTTCGGGCACAAAGTGGAATTTCGGAAGACACAGCTGTGAACGTGACCTCTCCAACACCTGGAGATGCCTGAGTAGTGTTGGGTTTTCTCTTGTTTTGCATAACGAGGCTGTCAGCATTTGGAAAGCCTGCATAACTCAGTGAGTCGGGGAGAGAGGGAGAGGGAGAGGGAGAGACAGGGGGCTTCCAGCACTCCCCAGTGGCGGCAACAGCCAACGCTGGGCCAGGCGGAAGCCAGGAGCTTCCTCTGGGTCTGTCTCGTGGGTGCAGGGCCCCAGGCACGTGGGCCATCTTCCGCTGCTTCTCCCAGGCCATTAGCAGGGAGCTGGGTTGGAAGTGGAGTGGAAGGGGCACAAACCAGTGCCCATATGGGATGCCGGCACCACTCCCACCACACCACCATGCTGGCCCGATTTCAAATTTTTTTTTGTACCAAAATAAAGTTAACTCTTCACACAGCGATCTCACAGATGATCTTAGACCTGCGTTCATCTCCAGGGTTGCCATGGCGGCCGATTTCCAGTTTTACCCCCGTGTTTTTCAGCCCCGACCCTGCCAGTCTGCAGTGCCCAGCGGCCGAGCTCAGGGGACTTCGCATTGCTGCTGGTCGTTGCTATTTTAAGAGTCATGGTGTCTCACACGGGCGCTCTGCCCCAGATTATCTCAGGAATTCCTGACTGTTTGCAGACAGCACAACCTGTTTGCCTTTCTGGGCCCAATATTTGAGTTGCAGGCTGTGTCCTTTAAAACAGGGCGTTCCTTTGAGGGTGGCCTCTCCCCCAACCCCACCCAGGACAGGATGAGTCACCCACGCCTGGCCGGGCACCGGCTCGGTCCTCCCCGGCTGTTAGGCACAGGTGATGCCACAGCTGGGAGGCAGCCCCCTGAACGAGGGGAGCCACGCCCGTGGCCTGGAGTCCAGCGCGCGCTCCCTCTGCCCCGCCCTGCTCTGTGGACTTCCGGAGAGGAGGGAGGCACAGGCCAGAGGCGTCCCGGGCTTTCCCTCAGGGAGGTTTGCTGTGGTGCCACTACGTGTGTGTAGTGTTAAAAAAATCTTTTCTCCGCGTAACGTCTTTTATTTAAGAGGTGAGGGGGGCCGGCGCCGCGGCTCACTAGGCTAATCCTCCGCCTAGCGGCGCCGGCACACCGGGTTCTAGTCCCGGTTGGGGCACCGGATTCTGTCCTGGTTGCCCCTCTTCCAGGCCAGCTCTCTGCTGTGGCCAGGGAGTGCAGTGGAGGATGGCCCAGGTGCTTGGGCCCTGCACCCCATGGGAGACCAGGAAAAGCACCTGGCTCCTGGCTCCTGCCATCGGATCAGCGTGGTGCGCCGGCCACAGCGCGCCGGCCGCGGCGGCCATTGGAGGGTGAACCAACGGCAAAGGAAGACCTTTCTCTCTGTCTCTCTCTCACTGTCCACTCTGCCTGTCAAAAAAAAAAAAAAAAAAAAGAGGTGAGGGGAAGAAGAGAGAGAGGGAGAGAGACAGAATCTTCCACGCACGGATTCACTCCTCAAATGACCACCACGGCCACAATGGCCAGGCCAGTTAGGAGCCAGGGACTCCATCCTGGCCCCCACATGAGCCGCTTGTGCCATCCTCTGTTGCTTTCCCAGGCGCATTAGCAGGGAGCCGCATCAGAAGTGGAGCAGCCGGGACTGCAAGGTGCAGTGAGACAAGCAGAGTCGGTGTCAGAGGGAGAGGCCAGGTGAGGGAAGCCCCTGGGGACTCCAGCTAGGTCCCCTGCAGGTAAGCCAGGCCCTGTGTGTGTGTGTGTGTGTGTGTGTGTTTGTGACAGATGCGGGAGTCGCTGCGAAGACGGCGCTGGCCCAGGGTCCCACCCTCCGCACCCCGGCCAGCTCATCTGCACGCCGTGACAGTGAGTGCTGATGGCAGGGCGTGGTCCCCCGGGGACGGTGGGGAGAGAAGGGCACGCGGCCCTCGGAACGGCTGGGAGGCTGGACGGAGGTGGAGAGCACCGCATAGAGCCGGGTGCTGGACACTGGTGTTCCTGTGGGCAGCGTGGGGAAGGGAGGCTGAGCGGCTGCCCAACACGCTAGGGCGGGTGGCAGAGGCTGGAGAGAGAGGGGCAGGGCAGGGCTGAAGAAGGAACAGCCATGGACCAGGGCACGCAGGTGGCCCCTCCAGCCCCATGGACACCTGACGTTGGGACTGCTGAGCCCCAGAGCTGCAGACGGATACGAGGGTTTTAAGCCACTGAGTTTGCAGTCTGCAAACTGCATCTGCAGCATCCCAGGGAAACTGACACAAACCCATCCCTGCCGCGACCACTCTCGTCATGGTCTCTGTACTGGGCACGTCCGACACCACTTCCCGGTGCTCCTCCCTGCCCCCCAGCTGAGCTGACCTCAACCCTGTCTTCTCGGCTACACAGGCCACGACCTTGGGCTTGCCCTTGGCTCCTCTCCTACGTGGATGAGCTTGCTGTGGGGTGCCCGAGGACAGAGGTGGAGGGAGGAGCAACAGGGATGTGTTGGCTCCATCTGTGGGCTGGGGGCCCCCACGGGTGGGGGAGCGGCTGCCACTCACAGCGCCATGAGGGCAGGCAGGCCAGCCTCTGTCCTCAACCCTTTGACGCCCACGTTCTGGGTGTCTCGGAGTGGCAGTGAGATACACCCTACTGATGGCATTTCACTCTTTGACGCTTCCAATCTTGTCGGCCAAGGATCACCCGGCTTAGGAGACGTCCCCCTGGAAGCTGGATCATGGCTTACGGATAAAGGCTCAAAGAACTCCCATGCACTGATCTGGGAGGCTGGACCCCTCGCTCCAACCCCGAGGAAGGCGGGGCTACAAGTCAGAGCTGTCCCCTGTCCCCTGGCTTCTGCCCCACGCCCTGCACTCTGCCCCCAGCACACCCCACGGTGACGGCCACCCCGCAGGACGTCGGAGGACCGGTGCCCTGTGGCTCGGCCACTGCACACTCACTGCAGTCTCTCTTCCTCTTTCCTCCTGAGGTCGAAGTCTCGCTGCACGACCTCCCAGACGTGCCTGGCCTCGTCGTCCGTGAGCTTGGAAAGGTCCAGTTTTCTCCCCATCTCTGCTTCCGGGCAGGGTCACACCTGAAACAGCAGGGCCAGGGCGGTCAGGGCGTGGACACCGCTCGGCTCACAGAGGAAGAGGCAGACCAGGGGGCCCCCGGGCGCCTGGCTCCCGTGCTTTCCAAACAGGCCACCGCTGGCTGGAAGCCTGCAGGAGCAGCTTAATGAATTTAAGTAAATCTACCCATAAAGTCCCCACACTTGAATTCCCACTGTGTCCACTGTGAGATCGAGGCCAAGGGTTCGCCACCGAGTGGCACAGCCCTTCCTTGGCCTGAGGTGTGCCCTGGAACGAAGGCTCCCCCTCCCTGAGTCTGCTCCCCTTATCCTGGGAGAGGGGGCAGCACAGATCCTCCTCTGCTTCCCCTTGACCACCAGGAGTGAACACGCAGGCCCCATGGGCAGGGGGGCCGGGGAAAGTCCACCTCTCTGTCCTCCAGGCTCCGGGGCTGGTCAGCTTTGCCATGCAACAGGGCGGCTCTCCCGGGGGGCAGCGTGACACCCGTGGGGGCGACAGCCTGCACCTGCCACGGGGTGGCACCAGTGGTGCAGGGTACAGGAGAGCCAAGCCGGGTGGTGGTTCCCTCCGTAGCTGGGGTCACCTGATAGGACTGACAGCCAGGCCCGCTGCCGCCGGGGGGTTCTGGCCGATCCAGCCGCCCCACAGAGCAGCAGCGCCACTGATCCGTCTCTACGCTGTCGGCTGCCCGGGAAGCCAACCTTCAGACGATTTCACGCCCTTTTTGAAGTTCGCCAGAGAAATCCAGATGTGAAAATACATGAGAAGCAGAACCTTAGCGCCTTGCTCGCCAGCTGCTCGGGGTGTGGTCCCTGGGATCTGTTAGGAATGCAGATCCCCAGGCCCGGCTTCAGCCCTACTGACTCGGAATCTGCATTTGAACAAGACCCCTAAGCAGGACCCTGGGCACACCCAGCTGGCCAGGCTGCCTCAGAGCCCTGTGAGCCACCGAGTCCCAAGGAGGCATTCACTTGGGCGGCGGCGGCGGTGGGGGGCAGGTCACAGAGGGCCTCGTCCGTGTGTCCTGCGGGGGTGGTGTTGGGCCAAGCACACCGGGACAGGCTCCTGGATCTGTGCAGATTTGTAGGGGTTCACCGTGCACATAGACATGCACAACACCACTGGGTATAAACCAGGGGGCGTCACCATACCTGGGGGGGCATGCCCTATGTGTGCACACTGGGGACCCCATAGGGCTCTACCCGGGCCTCACAGGGGACTTCCTTGACCACCCAGAGGACTCCGCCCCTTCAGGTGTCACGTTAGCCGGTGCTGAGCTCCACAAGGACGAAGCTCCCAGCACACAGTGGGCGCCTTCCTGGGCCCCACTCAAAGGCTGCGCGGGAGAGAGCCCTGGGCCCGAGGGCGCTGCTCCTGGCACCGGGGCTCTGGCCCAGTGCTCTGCAGCTGTGGGCTCCGAGAGCCGGGAAGACCCCGCGGGAGCACAGCCGGGCAGACGTGCCCTGAGCGCTCACACCCCTTTCTCAGGAGCCCAGGGAAGGGTCTGGTCAGCCCCACGAGCACCGGAAGGCTCGGCTTCGCTTCCAAAGCCTGAGAGGACGCGATCCCGGTGCCAGCACCAGCGAAATTTGCCCTGCACGGGGAGGGGGGCTTCAGACTGGCTGCCGCGGAGGTGAATTCTGAGAAGTGGTGGCTTCTGGGCAGACACGGTGCTGGGGCCGTCTCCACGGAGTCCCACAGTGGCCAAGCTAAAGACCCCCGGCTTGCGCCCGAGGTTGGCGACAATGGACGCTCGGATCGCCCGCAGGCCCCTGACCCCTGCACCCCGGGGGCGCACCCAGGATGCAGGGTCTGGGCGAGGTGGACTCAAGGCAGCACCGGGTTTCTGGTTTCTCAAATACTGGAACAAAACGTTCCTCTTTGCTGATGACCGGAGTTGATTCATTTGGACTTTTCATCATGTTTGAAAAAAATCGGTCACGAGGGGAGCGTTCACCGCAGTTCTGTTTCCAGAGGGCGGACAGCGTGACCATCAGCTGAGGGCCGCCGGCCTCTCGCTTCTCCCAGGGCGCCGGCACGATTCCAGGCGGCCTCGCGGCCCAAGTCTTGAGCCACGGAGGAGAAAAGCAAACAAGAGGAGAAAGCGCTCTTTTCTTATCAGTGAGCCCAGTGAGCAGGAAGCGGGGGCACTTCAGAAGCGAGGCCATCGTCCCTCTCGTGGGGACAGTCACGTGGCAAAGACAATCGCAGCGGGGGGGAGGGGGGGCAGAGAACGAGGGGCCAGGGAGCAGACTGGGTCTGAGCGGGGTCTGGACCCTGGGACAAGAGGGTGCCTGTCAGGATGGGGGAGGTGAGGGCCCCCGGGGCTGCTCTGGGGACCTGAGCAGCCAGGCTGGGGACAGAGGGGCACCGAGATGACCCAGCTCACAGGGAGGGGGGCGAACAGCCCCACCACGACCCTGGCTTAGCTCAGCCTTGGAGGCTCCCACAACACAGCACCCCAAGTTCAGGAGAACCTACTCCCAGCTTTGCAGTCTGCCACAGAAGGCCCGGGGTGACGCGATTCAGATCCTGAGGACGTGTGCACCCCACACAGCCCAAACCAGGTGGAGAGCTGGCGCCTGGCGGGTTAGAAGGCACCTGAGCACTTCGGTTCTGTTGATTTTCTGCTCTGGCCCCACTTCCTGTGAGCGGGAGGTGGGGAGAGGGGGGAGGGTCTCCAGATTTCCAGCGTGGCCCCGGGGCAGGCGGTGCCCCACTGCAGGGAGGCGGGAGCTGGTGTGCCAGCCACGAGTCCTCCTCGTCACCCAACGTCCCATTTAGTGCATGGCGAGGCCGACAGCTCTTAAAAGTCTACCTCTGGAAAATCATTTTAAACCAGATGGAGGACATACGGAGTCTTCACAAATGTTTGCGGAAAATGAGTATTAGGAAAACACCACACGGCGGCCAATGCTGTGGAGTAGCAGGTAAAGCTGCCGCCTGCGGAGCCAGCATCCCATATAGGCGCCGGTTCGAGTCCTGGCTGCTCCACTTCCGATCCAGCTCCCTGCTGTGGCCTGGGAAGGCAGTGGAAGATGGCCCAGGTCCTTGGGCCCCTGAATTCATGTGGGAGACCCGGAAGAAGCTCCTGGCTCCTGGCTTTGGGTTGGCCCAGCTCTGGCTGCTGTGGCCAAGTGGAGAGTGAACCAGCATGTGGAAGACCTCTCTCTCTCTCTCTCTCTCTCTCTCTCTCTCTCCCCCTTCTCTCTTTCTCTCTCTGTGTAACTCTGACTTTCAAATAAATAAATAAATCTTAAAAAGAAATAAAGAAAGAAAACCCACGTGGAAGTACCCTCTTTGCACCCAATAAACTCACTTTTCAGTTCCATGAGCTTTCGGAAGCCCTCTCATGAGCTCAACCTCAGCATGTCAGTGCGTGAACCAAAAACCGCTGGGGGTCTGGGGACGCGGTGCTCAGCCGGCCGGCTCGCCTCGGGCCAGCACGGTGGTGGGGACACTCGTGGGCCGTGGAGTGGCCACCACAGCCTTCCCCTGGGGTCAGCTCCTCCCCCAACCCCCTGTTGTGTTTTCTCCCCAAGACCCTGGTCCCCACTTGCTGCTCCCCCACCCCCAGCAGAGGAGGACGGGGCCAGAGGCCATGGGAGACCCACAGAGGGGGCGGGGCTGCCCTGGCAGGAGGGGGCACCTCCGGGGGGGCACAGACTCTATCTGCTCCTCGTCCTGCTTCTGTGCAGATAACTCCAAGTCACGCGTTTCCTGAACAAAACACTTTCAATTTGCGCCTGTCGCCCTGCTCAGATTAACTGCATTTCTATTCGTGGAGACTGTCAATCATCCCCGGTTGTTTGATGGGCATAACCGACAGGGATTAGGAGCGGGAGGGAGAGCATGGGCACCCCAGACCCAGGCCTCTGGGTCTCAACAGTGCATCTGCCGTCTGTACTCACTAAAGAGTCGAGTTCGTGTTCTCCCCAAACTGCTGCAGACTGGTTGTGGTGGCTCCCAGGTGAACCCCTGGTCTAACCCTGTCTCAGGCCGGCGGCCCCCAGGGCACCTGGCAACAATGGTGACTGTGTGTGGCCACCTGCCTGAGCAAACGGAAGCTGGAAGCCAAGTCCAAGTTCCTGGTGAAATGCCCCTCCAACAATGGCAGGGACCCGCTCTCTGACTCAGCGGCGCCTGCTGATAAAGCTGTGGGCAGAGGGGCGGTGCCCTCTGCCGTAACCCTTTGTGGCTTCCCTCAAGGCCACCCTCAGAGCCCCCCGGTGGCTGTCCCTGTGGGCAGGACACGACACCCTCCAGTCTCCAGCAGCAGCAACATGGCACGCACATTTCCAGCCGGAGCTGCTGGCCTCCCTGCGCAGGCACCAGGCGCAGCTGTGGGCTCCCCCGAGCTCCTGCTGGCTCCGGCAGGTGGTCTGCCTCTGGATCACCCCCAGCCCACCCGCCCACCCCCGCTACCAGCAAGCTGTCAGGCAGGCCCCTCAGACGGGGACATGGACACTGGCAGGGGCTCTGCACTCAGCCCGAAGCCTCGCTCTGGTCTCACAGCAAGGACCCGCCCAGGGCGCGGCTGCAGAGAGAGGTGGGGCCGAGAGTCGGCAGCTGGGACCCAGGCCCGCTCCAGACTGCACCACCTGGGGCAGGAGCCGCCTCTTCTCAGCCTCTCGGTTTGCCCGTCTGTACCATGGCCCCCCCTGGCCCTCTCCAGCCCTGGATGCCGGGATTAAGAGAGAGGCTGTGGGGAAGGGGTGCAAAGACAAAGCCACCGGGCCTGGGGCAGCCAGGTACCAAAGCCTCTTCCCACTAGCTGGAACCTCTTCCGCGCACCTTATCTACTCGCTGCTTCTGATTTCCAGGCCACTAACGCCTTCATCGATAAGACCCACTGACTCCGCGTCCGTGCCTGGCATTGTGCAGGGCCTCAGTCTGTCTGTGGCTGGGATGCCACGGTGAGGGGACAGGGCTCTCGCCCAGGGAGGCCATGGCCTTGCCGAGAGCCAACAGGTGGACAGGTGGGCCCAACAGGACACTCGCGCCTGGCCGCGGCGAGACAGCCCTGCCCCAAACGCGAAGGTCGCTGCTCTGCTGCCCACAGCCTGCAGCCCTGCCTGGGCTCCTGAGACGCGCAGCCCTGGGCAGCGCTGGCCCGTGGCCCTGGTGTACAGGGCCGGCTGCCTCCCCATTGTTGTCCCAACCCCACAGAAAGAAATTCGTGAATGAGACACGCACACCCTGGGACACAGCGACATGCTAAAGTCCCCACCCAAGTTTCCTGTGGCTGGTTAAGGTCAGTGCGAGACGAGTGCAGCCCACAAGATCTTTGGGGATTTACTGGGGACGCTCAGCTCCCACGGGGACCTGCACGCCCCCAGACCCACCGCCTGGGACCCTTCCCACATCTCGGCAGCCAGGGGGCCTGGCACCAAACAGGAGGCAACTCCAGCCGAACCGGGGCTCTGAGGGGCCCTGAGGAAGGCTGAGATCCTCCCCGTGCCAAGATCCGGTTGCACACAGGCACAGCCCGGGGTGGGGGGAATCTTTCCCCAGACAACCCCCGGGGGCCCCTAGGCTGGCAGCCCAGGGGCCTGGGACATCACAGCCTGGCTGCAGCTGTGTGTTCTGAGGCTGAAACCCACCGCCTGGCCCCAAACGCGCTTCCCCGGGAGGGGGGGGGGGCTGGGGCAGACTGGTTCCTCCAAGGTGTGGTGATCCGCGTCTGTGGCCTGAACCCGCCTTTCTCACCACCTGGACCAAGGTGTTAGGGTCAGGGTCAGGCGTCCCCACCCCACCCCCAGGCCCCGCCGCGCCCCCTCTGCGCATACTCACCGGGTCTCCCTGTGGAGGTCGCTAAGCGCTGGTCCCAGGCCCTGCAAGGGAGAGACCGCGGCCAGTCAGAGCGCGAGTCAGGGCGCTCTGGGGCGAGGCGGGGTGATCCGGGCCAGGCAGGGCGCGCGGCGCAAGGCTGAGGGCGCGCTCCGGACCTGCCGGAGCCGGTGGGCAGCTGGCGAGGTGCTGGAGCCGCCTGCCCGGGGTCACGTGGGCCGCGCCCCGCCCCGCCTAGCCGGGGTGCGCCCGGGCACTTCGGGGTGCCCAGCCAGGATGAGGGCGGAGCCAACGCCTGGGGCGCCAGCGAAGGAGAGGCCGGCGCCAGGGAGTGCACCCAGCACCTCGGCCCCAGGCCACTCCAGGTGAGTTTGCACAGACACCTGCGAGCACCCCGCCTCACGAGGCGGGGCACGGCCGCCCACGAAAGACCCCTGGTTGAGTGCGCCCGGGGATGTCTCTCTCCGCAGGGAGAACGCAGCCGAGGCCGGGAAGAGCGCCTTCGCGGCCCCCCGGTTCGCCAGTAGGACTTGGAGTCCAGGGCTTTTCCTCGGGGACTGGGCGCCCCCACCGCCTCCGATGCTGCCCCGCTCAGGGGCCCAAGCCCAAGCCCCGCGTCCGCCGGTCTCCGCCTCCCAGCCGGCGTCCACGCGCAGATGGGACAGACGCCGAAGGGGGTGAGTGCTGCGGGGCCCTCGGGGGTCGCGGTGCCGGGAACCGCCTCCGAGCTTCAGCGCCGCCGCGCTGTCCTCCTGGCCTTGTCGGGGCGCCCTAAACCCATCCGGTGCCCTGGAATCCGGGGGACCCCACCTTCTCCTTCATGCTGGTCTGGGCGCCTGGAGGGACCCTTCCCCATTCACCGTCTGCAAGCGATCAAAACTCCAGGCTCCTTTTCCCACGGACTCCTTCTGCAACCCAGTTTCTTAGCGGTCGGGAGCGCGACCGAAGCTCTTACGTGGTGATGCGCAGGGCTGTGGTTCTGACACACGGGCAAGGGGCTTCCAGAGGCCCCCGGGCTGCTCAGGTGCTGGCCGCATCCCGGGGCACCGGGCAGGTGGACGCGGGGCGAGGATATCCGCTCTCACAACACCCAGGTCCTGCTGTGTGGACCCGGGGGTGGGAGAGCTACACTGAAACCAGGGCTCTCGCCGCCCATGCGGTGCCCCCTCCCCCACAATCTGTATGGGAACTGTGCAGTCCTTGGGGGCACTAAAAAAAAGCATTGTATACTTGGGTGCCCGTTTACTTAAGCTCTTGGTTTTAAAAATGTATGAAAGGGGTCCGATGTGATGTGTGGTGAAGAACAGAAAAAGCAGTCAGATGGTTTTACATCCCTGGTCCCAAATCCAGTTGCCAGAAGTCATTGCTTGTGAGGACCTGAGTAGTGGTTTGGAGGTTGTGTGAGTGTGTGTGTGAGAGTGTGTGTGTGTGAGTGTGTGTGTGTGAGAGTGAGTGAGTGTGTGTGAGAGTGAGTGAGTGTGTGTGAGAGTGAGTGTGTGTGAGTCTGTGTGAGAGTGAGAGTGTGAGTGTGTGTGTATTTGTGTGAGTGTGTGTGAGTGTGTGAGTGAGTATGAGTGTGTGACTGTATGAGTGTGTGTGAGTGTATGTGTGTGTGAGTGTGTGTTTGTGTGAGTACGAGTGTGTGTGACTGTGTGAGTGTGTGTGGGTGTGAGTGTGTGTGAGTGTGAGTGTGTGTGTGTGAGAGTGTGTGTGTGTGAGTGTGTGTGTGTGAGAGTGAGTGTGAGTGTGTGTGTGAGTGTGTGTTTGTGTGAGTGTGTGAGTATGAGTGTGTGACTGTGTGAGTGTGTGTGAGTGTATGTGTGTGTGTGACTGTGAGTGTGAGTGTGTGTGTGAGAGTGAGTGTGTGTTGAGTGTGTGAGTGTGCGAGTGTGTTGAGTGTACAAGTGTGTGACTGTGTGAGTGTGTGAGTGTATGTGTGTGTGAGTGTGTGTGACTGTGTGAGTGTGAGTGTGTGTGTGTGTGTGCACGAGTGAGGCTACCAGGCAGGTGCATTATCCGCTCGACCTTTCATCCCTGGCCCCTTACCTAACCCCACCCCAGGCTCCCCCTCCCTCCCACTTGATGGCGGCAGTCGGTGTGTGTGGAGTCAGAGGGTTAATGGGCAGTGAGGGTGGCCCCAGTGGCATTTGCGGTGTAGAATGCTTGCTTCCTCCCTAAAGGTTACCTTTAGCAAGAACAAACTGACCGGCCCAGACCTTAGGAATCTCCCAGTTCACCACGAGGCCAGCAAGGGAGCGCTTCCTGAGTGACCTCTCCCGCCCTGCTGATGGCTTTTTGTTTTTATCCTGAGCATCCAGACAGCAAACAGGATTGTAAATCAGGTCTTGTCCCTGCCTGGTAACCGAATGCCAATCTCATTGTCAAGTTTGTTTTTTTTTTTTTTCTTGGAAATGGTACATAAAAACCCCGGTGCCAGGGGGCCGGGGGGCTTCTGCTTCTCTCGCAGCCCCCTCCATGCCCCTGTGGCTGGAGGTCTTCGGCTCTGATAAATCCTGTTTCTAAACCTTTAAATCTCGCTTTTCTCTTTGCCTCGTCCACTTGGGGATTCTTCCATGTGAGACAAAGAACCGAGGTAGTAATAATAATAGGGGCCGGCACTGTGGCGCAGCGGGTTAACGCCCTGGCCTGAAGCACTGGCATCCCATATGGGCGCCGGTTTGAGACCTGGCTGCTCCACTTCTGATCCAGCTCTCTGCTGTGGCCTGGGAAGGCAGTGGAAGATGGCCCAAGTCCTTGTGACCCTGCACCCATGTGGGAGACCCGGAAGAAGCTCCTGGCTCCTGGCTTCTGGCTTTGGATCAGCACAGCTCTGGCCGTTGCGGCCAATTGGAGAGTGAACCATCGGATGGAAGACCTCTCTCTCTCTCTCCCTCTTTCTCTCTCTCTCTGCCACTCCTCTGAGGTGTAACTATGACTTTCAAATAAATAAATAAATCTTAAAAATAATAATAATGATTTCCCCTAACAGTAGGATCTACACTGCAGGGCATCCACACAGCACTGGCAGCACTGGTTGGTGGCGAGTGCTTGGTGCCCTCTGAGCACTGTGTGGGCCCACAGCGTCCTTTGAAAACCTTCACAGAATATCCAGTGTGTGAGCTACTGCGACTCCTCACTGGTCTTCTGTGGATGCACAGGTTTTTTTTTTTTTAAGATTTTATTTATTTATGTGAGAGATGGAGTTGCAGATAGAGAGAGGGACAGAGAAATGTCTTCCATCCCTTGTTCACTCTCCAAATGGCAGCAGTGGCCGGAGCTGGGCTGATCTGAAACCAGGATCCTGGAGCTTCCTCTGGGTCCCCTACGTGGGTGCAGGGGCCCAAGCACTTGGGCCATCCTCCACTGCTTTCCCAGGCCATCAGCAGGGAGCTGGATTAGAAGTGGAGCAGCCGGGACTCGCACTGGCACCCATATGGGATGCTGGTGCAGCAGGCGGAGGCTTAGCCTACTGTGCCACAGCGCCGGCCTCTAGCAGTTAAGTCTTGGTTCCTGCTCTTTGTAATCATGCTGCTGTAAAAACCACTGTAGATGGTTCCCTCTCTTTACCATGCACGTCTCTGGGATGCATCTGGTTTGTGCGGATGGGCGGACACAAGTGTCATTGCACGAATACTGACCCCAACACAGCTGGAGGATAAAACCCTCACATTGGAACTGCTGGCTGCACGGATGACACGGCAGTGGGAGAACATTCTAAAAACCAGTTTACATTGTTGAGACCATCTCAGAGTTACAGGGAGCTGCAAACCTGACCGAGCGCCGCGCCCCCAGCCCATTAGATGGTGGCCCTGATGCCTCGGTGTGGAGTTGAGATAAACAAGGGCAGAAATGAAACCGCACTGGAGCCATCAAAGCCGGCGAGTGGCAGGTGCTCACAGCCGAGCCACCGACCTCGTTCAGGTTTTGCCGGGCGCTTGGGTAACTGCATCGCCAAGGGACGGGTGCGGAAGCTTGCCTTGTTCTCTCGCGGCTCAGTTCCTCCATCTGCTGTGACAGCGGAATGTCGGGGCCATCGGGTTGGCAGCGTGTCCCTGAATGCGGGTGCGTATGAAGTTTCCCATGGTCCTCTTGGACAGAAGCCTCCAGGGTTCTGCCTGCTGTGTGCTGCCTGGGTGCGTGGGCCTCCTTTGCCTCGTCCTGCTCTCCAGACCATGACCCTGCTCTCCGGGCCGTGACCCCCGCATGAAGGAGCGTGGTAAGGAATACGCGTTTTGTGGGGAGGGCTGAAAGCATCGGAATTTTTCACAAACCAGGACAAACGACAAAGGCAGGGGGTGCACTTTTCCTGTTGCGTTCCTGCCTCCCCAGCTACTTGGAGCTCTGCAGGGTGGTCCCCCCGGGGGGTCCCCTCTGGGTGGCCCCCTCTGCTGTCTGAACTTCTGGCCCTGCCCTTCCTGGCTCCACGCCTGGGCTGCTTTCTCTTCAAGACTGTGTGGTCCAACTCCGTATCTTACAGAAAGGGGCGGGGTTTCTCCAAGGCCATGGCCGTCTGGGGGCAGCTGATGGCTTCAGCCTGGAGCCTCCAGCAAAGCCTGGGTGGGCGGTGGACAGCAGAGGGCAGTAGAGGGCCCTCCTTGCTTCCCTGTCTCCCCGGGGGCTTCCTGGGACCCTGGCCTTGGCTGGGGCTTAGGGGCAGGTGTGACACGGAGGAGAGACCCTACGTGTGACCACGTAGCAGGGAGCTCACCCAGAATACAGGCCTCAGCCCGGCCCTGTCTGGGGTCCTCGTCTCCTGGACGACTGGGCAAGTCCCACGGAGGGTTCGATGCACACAGAATTTCAGTCCCGGCCAGGAAGGGATGTGTGCAACGTGCGGCGGCCAAGGCTTCAGTATTTTCTTTCATAAATCTGCAAAGTGAGAGGGAAAACACCCCACTGTTCTGTGTTCTGGGTTTATGGTTGTTGGGCCAGGCCGGGGGCCACGGCTTACAGAGAATGCGCTAGGTCTTTAAGGGGTGTCACTTGGGCCTGGGCCCCGTTCTTCAGTGCACAGGCTCCTCTGGCTGACCCCAGGCACCTGGGGCACCTGAGCTGTCGTTTGGTGGTAGTGGTGCCAGGACGGCTGCGAATGCTCCTGCAGCTGCCTCCCCGCCCCTCCCCCGTCTGTCTGGCTTCAGCCATTTCCTGGGTGGCACCCCCACCCCACCCCACGCCCATCTGGATCTCACTCAGCTCCCCCCGCCCAGAGCAGCTTTTCCTGACCTGGCCACTGCGGGGGGCCCAGCTCCCCTGCGTCCTACCCAGCC